GGAGGTATTTTTTAAGTACTTTATGTACAGTCTGGGTCTGTAGTGGAGTAACCGTCAATTTACATCAACTAAAATTGCTTGTTTTTGCCAATGACAGGCTCGGGTTATTATTATAAGTGTCTGACAACATAATGGAAAGGATCCTTTCAGAGATAGACCTTTTCATTAGAGAACAATGTGCTTTTTGTTTAACCAGAAACAGCAATGGAATCGCCCACCAAACTCCATTTAAATAAACAGTGATTTTAAAATTGTAGCACAGCTCTGGTTTGGTTGAAACGAACCCTTAATCCACCCACTTAGATGTGAAAATATGTTGGCTCTAAACATACTAAAATGACTGATCTTTTAAATAGAGTTTGGTGGCTTTAGCGATGGCAATTTTGGGGCAGTTTCTGGTCAGACAAAAATGATCTTAAGCTTCAAAAACAAGGCCTACCTCTACAGGGGTTCTTTCTAATCTGAACCTGTCAGTGGCAAAAACAAGCACTATTAGAGGACGTGACTTGACAGTGCATAATGCCCTGAACCGGTTACATGGTAGCCCCTTGTTTGTCGCTGGGGGCTGCAGCGCTTTTACTCAATACTGGACCAATTTCAAAAATTTTGTTCACTTAGACACAAATACATGGGAAAATAGGATCTAGGTTGAAAAGTACCAGCTTTTCCTTTTAAGTATTTGAGTAAATGTTCTCATTTATTTACCACAAACTGCATACAACCAGAAAACAGATATTTAAAGTTGGACTGTGTTAGCCCTGATGACCTGTTTTTTTGTTGTTGTTTTTTTGAATACAAAATTTTCAGGTTAATTGTTTATTATGTACTAAAACAGGTACTTTTTTGTTAATGTATACTTTAAAAGAAGCTCTAACAACACAATGGCTCTTTAAATGTTTAATAACCTCAGCACATCACTTTCAGATATCCAGTCAAGACTGCGAAACTAATTACTGATTATTACGTGAGTTAATCAGCGCAAAATTAATGGCTAACAACATTTTTTTTTTCAGTTCCTCAGCTGACAGAACTAAATCAAAAGGTCAGCGTATCTGCAGTATCTCTGTGGATAGGAGGTGATGTTCCTTCCTTTAATGAGAATCAACTAATTACAAACCATCCATTATTTTTTTTTTCTGCTTGATTAATCATATTCTTGTGATGAAAAATGTTCACCTCTCAATTTAACACACTGTCAGAGGGGAAGCTACTGTGAATACAAAGCCTGACTAATATTCTCACACTGTTACATTAACTTTTGGTACTTCCTGTTTGACTCATGGGTCTCCACAGGTTTCGCCACCCTGAACTCCTCCTACAACTGGGCTCCCTTCCAGCTGACCACATTGTGTCCCTTAATCAGTGTACACACCTCCAGTCAAATAAATCATCACTGCTGTCAGAGTGGGGACTAGCAGAAAAAACACTAATAAGATTTTGGCTGTGTGTTGATTTGCTAGTTGATTACCTGCCGCATTGGAGGATAATTGGCAAGTAATTGGAGGTCGTCAGTGTTGTCTGATAAAATGGTGTTTCTGTAAATTCTCCATGAGAAAACAGAGAGACAATTTCATAACCACCAGCTTCTTCATTATGACAAGACAATGACTAAGAGCATAATTAAAATTCATCTTGCGGAGGACACAAATTTGTGTACAAAATAGCAAGGCAATTCATTTAATAATTGTCAAGATATTTCACTCAAAACAGAATATGTTAACCAAGAGGAAAAGTCAATGGATTGCCAAAGTCAGTGGATCATGAATGTCTGTGCAAAATTTAATCCAATAGTTAAAATATTTCAGTCTGGCCCAAAGAGATGGACAAATGGAATTATATCTCCATCCCCAGAGCCTCATAGCAAACACATCAACATCAATCCTCAAGAAGTCCCTAGCTCTCCAGCTGTTCACAGTGACTGAATACCTGTACAAATTGCATACCAGAACATGATTAAACAGTAAAAACTTTCACTTAAATCACACCTACTTTCTCAGAGTTCTGCTTTTTTTCTGACTCTTCAGCTTGAATCTTTGCGAAAAAGCTTGTAGGGTTCAATTTCATTCCAAATCCAGCTCATTAAAGGGACGGTATCTCCCCCAGATTAAAAAATACATATTTTTCCTCTTACCTGTAGTGCTTTTTATAAATCTAGATCATTTTAGTGTGAGTTACAGAGTGTTGGAGATATCGGCCGTAGAGATGTCTGCCTTCTCTCCAGTGTAGTGGAACCAGATGGCATTCAGCTTGTGGTGTGCCAAATGCAGAAAAAATACATCTGAAAAACTCAACAGAAATGTCTCTTTCCAGAAATCATGACCCGGTTATTCAAAGTCACCAAGCAGAAGGAAGTTTGCATCCACTGCTAGGTCACCTAGCACCACTTAGCTAGCTAACGTTAAAGCTTACAGTTTACATCTCACACTGCCACAAGCTTGAGCCACTTGTCCATTAATAGATGCACGCTTCCTTCTGTGTGGTGATACAGTTGGTGGCAGAGTCCTGCACCTCTGGATAAAAAATTTTGACATCTAAATCACTGCTATCAAACCACAATTCAGTTTATTTTGAAAAGTCAATGACAGAAGTCGAACCCTTGACCCTATGATAAATATTTGTCAGTGACATAGAGGACCCCATTGATAAAAATGCCATCCGAGGATGAGGTGGCAGCCTACATCAAGTTCAAGACACCCATGGAGGATCCTTTGGCGGTTCTATGGTGGCCGAAGGAGCATGCTAAATGTTTCGTAACCTGGCAGTGATTGCACAGAATGTTTTTGCCATCCCCACATCTAGCGCATCCAGTGAAAGAAACTTTTCCTCTGCTGAATTTGTAATTCAAGAACAGTGAACCCAGGTTAATGTGAGTGACTGTAGCCTGTGTGTGTTTAATCATGGGTGTGAGTAAGGTCGCGGGACTTTTATTAATGGGTGCGGCTTTGACTTAGACATAATGAAGGGTAATGGGTCGACTCTGGTGCTGAGCTTTATGGGTATGGGCTAGCCTGGTTCCAGACCATAGACCCTGCCCACTCAACTGAGTAGGCTTGCATCTCTGGTCTGGCATACTGCAATGAATTTGCAATTTATCTCGTCCAAAAGATGGAAGATCCAATGAACGCGGGGGGTGGGGGCGGGTCTAGCGATTAGCCAATCAGCGCCACGCTGATGTCAAGCTGTCCGCAGGTGGGTAACTGGTAAGGATAGCAACAATGGTGACCGCTACAGATCCTAGAGACCACATTAACTATGCTATTGAGGTATTTCGCCACTACTCGTGTTAATGGAGGACCAAATTAAGGAAGCTGCTAAACTGGATTTAACGGCGATGCAGCTGGGCGTGCATGACGACGGAGACATTTTTAACGGGCAATGCTCGCTTGTTTTCGGCACCCCCGAGGCATGGATACTAATGACGTCAGATTCTGGGTGAGTCGTTGATCTCTACTGATTGGTTAGGGAAAAATCAAATTCCTTTCCCCTTGTAAATCGCCTTCAATGGAGGCGATGTCAGACTTAAGGTTCTGGGAGCTTCAGTCTGACACTCAGGCTAGGTATGGGCGGGTGTAGGTTTTCAAAAACGGACCCGTGCAGGTTGGTGGGTGTAGTTTAGAAGAAAGAAAATAGTTCCTATATTAAATTGCTCCCAACAAGGTCTGTAGATTATCTTGAGTAACCGGGTCATGATTTCTGGAGAGAGACATTGCTGTTGAGTTTTTCAAATGTACTTTTTCTGCACATTGAGCACCACAAGCTGAGTGCCATCTAGCTCCATTATGTTCGAGAGGCAGACATCTCTACAGTCGATATCTCCAACACTTTGCAACTCACACCAAAACAATCTAGATTTACAAACAGCTTTACAGATAAAAAGAAGAAACATGTATTTTTGATTTTGGGGGTGAATTGTCCCTTTAAGGTCATCTTTTGTTGTGATGCTTAAATCGTCTAAGTGCCAGCAAGTTCAAATCATCCACACAGACACCAGTTTGCCATGATTATAAAGAAGCCAATCTATTTTGTTCAGAATGAATACTGGGCCCTGAGCTTCCACAAGATGGTGATTTCCAACAAATGGTCGATTTTATTGAGGACAGAGCGCACGGTACAAACTGTTCCACTTACACCAGTGGGCTCAAAACGGCAAGGAAATGTGTGATAGATTTTCCCTTCAAACATTTAAAATGCTGGATATCTACACTACTTCTAACCCAGTTCAATACAGTTCTTTCTCATGCGGGAGGGTAGCTGATTTAAAGATTGTAATTTGAAATAAACACATAAACACAGTGTGTGAGGCTCAGAGCAGGTGGCGTCTTGTTTGCCCAGCTGAAGCAGGACTTCCTGCCTGTTGCTGCAGTGGAGGAAGTTGGAGGACCTGTCAGGACCACCCCAGCCTGTACAGGTGGCTGCGGCCTCTCTGGATGTCAGGTCAGTCTTATGTAAGTTATTTTCTGCCCTGTAATGTTCTTCTCCTGCAGGGATCTAAGCTGCTCTGTTGAGTATTTCACTGATGTTATAGAAATGCCTTCTGATGGTGGCACAGTGCCATCTGCTGGAAGCTACAAAGCACAGGATGCACTGAAACTGGTGTGTTCGCCTGCATCTCAGCCTGTAACAGCCACATGAGTAAAGGGACAGTCAGTCAGTGCTCATTAACTCTACATCTATAAATAAAGATGAGCAGAAGCCTGTTTAAATGAGTTGGCCATGACTCAGTGTACATTAGTTGTATTCTTTGTAGCTACAGCTACAAAGGATAATAGTTATTTCTTTACTGTTTGTTTCCTGGAAAAATAATAATTATGCGAAGCACACTCTCATAATAATGGCACTTAGCGACCACCTCCTGACAACTGGAGACCTCTCCCGCTGCTTCTCCATCATGTGCTCCTGCGTTCAGCTGATTTAGTGGATGCTGCTTAATATTTAACAACAAATTTCCCACTGCATGAAGTAATGACTTACATGAAATCAAAACAAAATGAAACTGTGGGTGGCAGATAAACAAAATATGTTTAATGGATTTCGTCAGTGTCAAAATATTTCACACTCTCTGGAATCAGTTAAAATGTGCATAAATGTCACAACACTGTGTACAATAAAGTGTTATTAGGAATCCAGTGCTCTTATTTACAGCCACAGAACATAATATATACAATAAATCCTACATTAGGTTTACTGGGTACAATGCCTTCCCCTTTCCCTCATTGATAATACGTCAAATTTGAGATTTTTCATCCAAACAAGTCAAATAGTTGCATATATTTAAATGTTTAAATATTAAAAACTGATGATAGTAAAATATGTGAAGCTTTGCAAGTACAAATATCCATCTTTGGAGTTTATCAAATCCCTCCTCAATGACACAGAGACCCTTTTGTTACATATACATGAATCTTACATTACATGTACACTGTGTTCAGGTTGATGATGTATTCCAGCTTTTTTTCTTAAATTGAAATGAGGCTGTTTGCAGCTTGTTATTGTTTACACAGATGCACAAATTATGTATTCTTGGCTTGGTGTTATTGTCTTTACTCTGCCTATTGTTTAAATTGTATTTTTGTCTAGTTTATTTGCATATTCCAAACAGTTTCCTTTCCCTTTCTGCAGTTTACATAGTAATTCATATTCACCAGGGTTTCTGTGGATCTTTATAAAGTCTTAAAGGGCATTGCATTCATTTGTTTAAAAAACAAGGCCTTAATTGGTTTTAAAATGTTTTAAATCAATCATTCAAAAGTCTTGAAAGTGCTAAGAAACAGAAAGTAAGATTCTATGAAATGTTTTTGATGACGTTGCATTGTAAAATCTCAAAATAATTAAACTAATTTAAAAAATGCCTCTTGCATTTATGTCACGTAGAACATTTTGTTTCCAGCTGGGGTGCTCAGAGCAGAGCATCCACTGTCTGCTACCCAGCTGTTGATGTACCCTGGATGAGATGGGGAGGTGCAAATTTAATGAAAATTGGCTAAGATTTTGTGGCTAAAAGTGGTTCAAGGCAATGCATATTGGCTCTGTGTATTTCATGCAAAGACGTTCTTAAAACACGGCACAATGGGAATCAAGGCAGTGGAATCTCATATGCAGAGTGACAAACACAAAATCGCATGCCTGGAAAGTGTTACTTTTTTTCTTTTGAACATTTGAGGTAGATCAACTAATGCAGTGGTTCCCAACTGGTGGGTCGTGGTCCAAAAGTGGGCCGCGGTTCTATTCTAAATGGACCACAGGTGACTAACAAATGTGACATGTTTGGAAAAAACACACTTTATTTTTATGTACCATGAGACACAGAGCTTTTATTTTGAAGTGTCGTTTCCCTACTGTAGAGTGAGTGTGTATGTGAGTGTAAGTGTGACGCTGAATATTTTAAACTGTGTGGACCTTGACTAGGGAGAAATCTGGACCGTGTCACTGGACCAGTTGGGAACCACTGATCAAACGTTTTACTGGACCAAAAAAGTGAGGTTTTATCTTACATAAATTTGGGCAAAATTGTCCCTAATCCTATGTAACTGATGCCATTTCTTCTTTTTATCCAATTTTATCTCGTAAAATTGTTCTGACACTTTATATTGAGTGGCAATAAAAAAGACTTTAAAAGTCTTAACTCTAACTTGCCTTAAGCTGTAGGAAACCCTGACTCATACAGTCATATTCTCTTCTTTGTTTGGCGCTCATTTCAGGTGCTACAACTAGACCTTCATATTTCCAAACCTGACAGATTGCACAAATGCCCTAACATGTTGCGGTGTGGGGATTGAAATGCATCACACCATGCCCTCGATGGGGTCCATCTTCAAGGAATGCTCAGCCCCTGTGTTCTGTGTTTCCTGCTGCCTGTAGACCAGCTGGTAGTCTTTCAGCACCTTCACCACCTCATCGTGTCCGAACTGCAGAGCATCATCGATCGGTAGGTTCCCCCACCTGCACAGCGATGAGTAAAGGTAAAGATGAGGAGGGATCAGCAGATATGTCATGGAGAATTTCAGCAGTTAAATGTGTTTATAACCCTTGTAGATCACATCTCCTGACAATTTGTTTAACACTATATGCCTAAAAAAAAAAAAAAAAAGACGTGTGCTTACGTAAACTAGAATGATATCCTGACATCCACCCATCTATCAACCTGCAACATTTAGCCGCACAGAGCTAATTAGCTAGCTAGCCTTGTCTTTGTCTCCCCAAAACACCGTGGTTACGAGCCCCCTGGCTAGATGTATTCATTTTCAGGAAGGTGGTATTTGTGACAGCTTCATGTTATGTGCAGGGCATTTTACATTGGACACTTCAGCACGTAACGTCACATAGAACATACAGCGAACTTCGTTTCTCTCTTTCTGATTCTACTGTCCCGTCAGCGTTACACTGTCCGGGCCTCATTGTTATGACACACCCACTTTTCAACGATAAAATTTTTGTCTTAATTTCCAAAACAATGTGGCTGCGGTCTTGTTCAATTAATTTATTTATCCCTCATTTATTCATTCGATTATCTCTCTTGCTGAGAGAGATGTGTGTGGAGCTAGCAGTCCACTGTAGCTCTGCAAAACTCTAAACCTGCCCACTTTTAGTGGTCCAATTAAGTGTGAAGGATTTGATTTAAATTTCACATGTAACTGTACCCTGCTGAAATGTTTCATTACACTGGGAAATACGTCACAATGCAGAATGAAATGTACTTGGGTAAACCCACCAATGTGGGCTCAATATGGAACACGTGGACAATCCTATATAGGGCCCATTTTTCAGCCCATCTTGTACCTGTATGGGCCCCTCATACAAATGCTTGCTGGGTTGTATCTACTCTATGTGGCCGTGGTTATGTTTGTGGGTCTGAGACATAATGGTGCATTGTCAGTTCACTGTAAAAAACTAACTTTCAATCAGACATTTTTTTAAAATCACATACTCTCACTAAGATCACAAATCTCATCCTGGAAGACAGATGGCAAAGTAGAAGCATCATCTAAAGATGTGTTTACAGTTCTATCTGAAAACAACATGAAACAGACCAGAGGTTAAAACACGTGAACATGATCAAAGGGTTAAACAGAAGGAGCTGTGATGAAATTCAAAGCTAAAGGATAAAGAGACAGATGGTACAAATGCCGTCCCCACCTGTCTTCTACAAATGGATCGACTTTGCAGGTGTCAGTGAGGAACTTCACCACGTCTATGTGACCTGAGAATAAACACAAAAGACTACAGATTACAGATCCCCACCTGGGAGGGTTCGACAGAGACAATCTTTATCTGATAACTTTGGTGAACCAAAGCAAAAGCAACACACCCTTTAAACTCGCACTGCCCCAAACTAGCAGGCTGCTCACGATTTACATGTTTGTCTAAAAGCATGACAAATGAGGGGTGGAGAAAACAAAGCTGCTAAAAATATAAATTACACAGGGAAAAAAAAAGATGTATGAATATTTCCCTCAAGTCACATTACGACTCAGAATCAGATTTAGGAGTGCAAAGCTCTCTTTTTTTTCATTTGGAAGAAAACTGTTATTACTCCCATTTTTATCTTGTATACAAATGAGTTGCTTACGAGGCTCTTTTTGAGAAATGTAACTGTTGAACACACTGCAGCGCAGCATTAAATCTGTGCTGTGAATAAACTCAGACCACAACACAAGATAAATATTCGCCATATGGTGCTCTGTAAGGCTCTGTGAGCGGATTCATTAGTGGTGTAGTATAATGTGAGCCAAAGGTACCGTGCCTCTATAGTTAATCAAATGAAGTGAAATCTAACTTAGCACTAATTACAGCTGTGCACATGCTATGCTACTTAAAATACAACTTTTCCTCTGAACAAAGTTTAACTGAAGTTTGTGGGTGTGTGATAAAGGTGCTCTCAAGTTGCTATGTCAACCAATCCTCATTAAATCTGTTTTATTTATGTTTCATGTTTTATTGGAGTTCATTGTTTTGCTTTTTTATGCAGACCTTTAGGAGCGGCCCTGTCTCCTAGAGACTAAATGTGGATATTAGTGAATTGTTTTCATAATTACGTTGTGGTGACAACATAATCTCTGCCTGGATTATTTCCAGACACTATGTTTTCTTTGAGTTAATGCAACACTACATTAACTTAATTTATGTTCCACGTGTTTAGGCAGTCGTTGGTAGAGTAGTGAAAATCTATACTTAAGTAAAAGTGTCATAGTCTGTGGCTTTCCTTCGTTCCTCGTGTGTCAGCTGTTTTCCTCCCTCCCCTTTGTTTCTTGTGGCTCCTTCTATGTCTCTCTGTGTCTTTGTATCTCGGCGTGGCTCTCCTGCTGCTGCCAACCCGCCTGCTCACCTGAAAGCCAGTCTACCTTGCGGCACTGACTACAGCCTGTTTTTTTCCTAAACCTTGTTTCTCTGTGCCTCAGATCCACACTCACTGCCAACCTGTTTCCAGCACTGCTCAGAGTGCCCTGGATCAACCCAAGACACTCCTTCTTGCCTTATTGAAAATAAATCCACTTTAAACTGAACAGCTGTCTGAGCCATGCTTTTGGGTCCAGTTCTCTCTATACTATGCAACAAAAAGTCCAATTTCTCCTGTAAAGAAGTGCCTGGTTAATGATTTATTCAAAGTACAAGGTGCTCCTCATGTGCTCTCGCCTCACTCGATCAAATTTAGAGCATATTGATTGTAACTAAGGCATAAATAGCAAATGCAGTGAAGTAAAAAGCAGATTACTGGCTCAAAATCTACTCCAGTAGAGAGCAGAAGTACAGTTTTTAAAAAGGAACTTGAAAGGTATTCGTTCCTTTAAAAATATATACTTTTTTACTCATGTGCATTACTTGTAAAGTGCTACTACCCACCCCTGGAATTAGGGAACAAAAGCACTCAAGGAAAGATCGTGATTTTGGTTAAATGTTAAAGGTTCTCTACATGACAATCATAACGTTAACATAGCAACAAACAACTATTTGCTATGTCAAGGTGTGGCTCAGAGGCAGAGCAGGTAGTCCACCGATCAGAAGATCCGCGCTACCAATCTTACGATCTACCGGCTCCTCCAGTCTGCATGTTAAAGCATCCTTAAGCAAGATACTGAACCCCAAATTGCTCCCGATGGCTGTTCCATCAGTGTGTGAGTGTGTTAAAGACTGAGTAGCAGGCGGCACCTTGTATGGTAGCCTCAGCCACCAGCATGTGAATGTGTGTGTGAATGGGTAAATTTGACTCGTAAAAAGCGCTTTGAGTGGCTGGATGACTAGAAAGGCACTATACAGGTGCAGGTCCATTCCATTTACCATTTAAAGCCCACACTCTGGTTCCCCTTCATGTTAACACCATGTTAGCAATGTTCACGCTTTTAGCACCTTTAGCTGCTGGAAGTTGGCTCAATTACATCTACATTTCGAGCCGTGTGCAGGGGACCCCCCTCGGACTCTACGAGTGATAGTTGTAGGGCTGCCCTCTGAAAGTCAGAGATTCAAATGATCAGTCAGAGACTCCTCAGTCGGCTGAGATTCCTTCAAGTCGAGGAGTCTTTTTTTTAATTGCCAGTCAGTGTGCAGGGTACTTCTGGGGGCGTTTTGGTCTCCAGCTTTAGCTGCAAAGTGAGCACTCCTCGCTTCCATGCTGCTCTTTGGCACAGGCAGCTGCCCGGAGGAGGATAGGTCTTGCCCCACTTCTGAGCCTTCTGCTTAGAAGTGGTGAATTTACAGCTCACAGCGACTTCATACAATACAGTCTCTGGTTTTTGTTTGATATCTAGTGTCTGCAGAAAATGTTGCACATTTCTGATCCGTTGTTAGAGTAGTTAACTCTCACACTCTATACGAAAATGAAGGAACGATAGTCAAATATTTGTATTGAGCAGCCAAGTCTGACTGGCAGTTTGTGTATTACAAGACTGCTTATATTGGTGGAAAACAAATGAAATAGGTTGTTAGTGAACATTTTGCTGATATGTTCAGTATAAACAATTTTGTGACAGGTATGTTAATTAACAACTCTTCCTCATTATGTGAATAGAAAATGTACTTTGCTTAGCGTTACATTTCCCACCAACATATTTGCTGTTTCAGATTAATTGTAAATGTGATTTCTAGGAGCCTAGGATGACTTATTTTTGCCCAGTGGTCACACAGATTTGCTCCCTGACTGTTTTATATTTTTCCTGTGGAACTGATTTTGTGTTGCTCATTCACTAAACATCATGCCCACAGATGAGCCGATCATGTGGAGCTCACCCTCTGCTGCAGAGATATGTAGCGCTGTTCGAGAGTCGTAGTCTTTCAGGCCCATGTCCATGGATGAGAGAGCAAACCTGAAGGAATAAATATAAGTACAGTTCATTAACACTTCTTTGATACATAAAATACAATAGTAATATACATATAGAACCACAAATACATATATTAGCATTGTAAATACGTTTGAGCTAATCAGCATGCAAGCACCAGTGTGATTATTTTCAGTTCTGTAGACAAACTTTATGAGTTATTTTACAAACCACACAGAAATAAAAACAGAAATTACCCTTTACCCCTTTCAGAAAATCTATGCCAGGCAGCACTGAAGCAGTTTACTACACTTCATGTTTGCTTTTCATTTAATTTGTCATCCATCTGTGTGTTTTTCAGAACCCACACCTGCTGCTAGCATTATGACTGCCATCTGTTATACAGGGAAAACAATAATCAGGTTTGCCGGTGATGTACCTTCTCAGGGCAGACACGTCTCCACTGTACGCGGCGAACATCAAACTGAAAACAGACTTGTTCTGCAAATGCAGGGAAACAACATAAACACAGAGGCACAGACACACATTAAACACACCAGCAGGAACAAACTGACGAAGCAACACACCCTGTCGTCTCCCTCCAGTCTGCGAGGGTCCTGCTTCTTGACAAAGTGCCGCAAGTTGTCGTAATTGTGGAAATTGAAGACTGAGACGAGCTCCTGAGGGTGATAAGACACAGTGTAATTGTTAGAGGAGGAAAATGCTCAAGGACATATATATTACTTTTATGTTTTGAGACAAGATCTTTATCAGAAAAAATGAACAAAGGTTTAACAGAAAATTCAAGCCTTTTGGTTTTGTTAGATAAAACTTTAACTGGTTTGACTAACTCTTGAGCTGTTGCTCACACTATAGATTGTCCTCCCTAATTTTTGTCAAAGAGGTTAAAAAGTATCTGGTAAAAATAAATCTGGTCTGCACTTGGCAAAACAGTCAGTAGCTGGCGCACTATTATAGAACGTGGGGTTGATTGATTTGTTTCGACCAGTTGTCCGCAGTCGGCCTTAGGCTGAAATATTTTTGTACGAAAAATAAAGATATGGGTGAGAATTACAACTCTGACCATAAGCAAATGCTTTCTACATGCAAATGTTCTATTGTATATCTCCTGCCATCCATTTGAGAGTAGCCAAAAGCTCTGTCAGGCCAAGTGCAGCCAAGGAGGCTAAAAACAGCGCACCCAAAGAGCAGCTGAGCAGACACCGTCCCTTTATTTCTAGTGCCGTCTCCTGTAACCCTCCAACATCACAGCTCCAGTTACATGCATGTGTCATGCCCCATAGCCCCCATGAGGTCAAAGATCATGTCTCAGCCTTCACTGGACAGCCTTGATTTTTGTACAGACACAAAGAGTATAGAAGGAGATCTGCTCCTCAATCTCAGATCAAATGGTCAAATAATAAACTAAGATTCTGCTTATTTGTTTGTTAACAGGAAGTGGCACCATACTGTTTCCTGTATTGTGAAAAAGGCTGAAAATACTGAAATCAAGAAGTAAAACAGACAGCACTGATCAAATATGAATCAAGATTCTGTTACTGTGTTGCCTTTTTCTCATTTAAAATGTCTTCAGAAATGTATTTCTTATTGCTTATCTGTAATACCAGTTTGTTTGTTACCAGCCAGCTGCCATATTGTTTCCTGAGGAAAAATGGCCATGCTTGCATTACGTCACCCACCAGCGGGAGTGTTTATTGGTCCAGTGCACTGCAGTGCATTCTGGTAGTTGTAGGTTTTTCATCCCTTGAGCAAAAGCAAATGCTGCAGCCCTTTTTCTGTGTTCTCTCCCGTCATGAAGCACCAGTTTCAAAAGTATCTGTTTCTTTCTACTACACAGGCAGCCTAGTTTTATGACTAAATCACTTTTCCTGTGATGAAATACTTCTTAAATAAGTGTAGTTTGATTTGACCAACTGTAAATGCTACAAATACAAAATGGATTTTATTTGCATTAAAATGTTTGGAGATGTTTTAAGAGAAAAAAAATCATATTTATGAAAAGTTAATAATTGTGGTTGCATCTATTTTTTTACAATAAAGTACAATATTTTCAATATTAGATTTTGAATCCACAACACATTTTGATTAGATTTAATTTTTTTGTAGTCTAAGGGATTATAATTACTATTTACAAAAATTGCCTTGTAATTTGTATTCAGCAACAGTGTGCAGTTTCTACCTGCCATACATGCCACTCTCTCAGTAAACCCAGTAAATTCCCAGTAATCCTGCCTCTCCACCACACCTACCTGCCAGCCTGTCACCTGTCCACACATCTCCCACTCCTGCCAGTCCATCACACCCACATCATTGAGCTAATGTCCCTCACCTGTGGATCATTACCTTCTGCCAGTGTACAAACTCCAGCTTCACACACTCTCCTTGCCAGATTGTTCTTTGTCACACTCATGCAAGACTTTCCAGCATTTATTCCCACACAGCTTCCTTGTTCCTGATCTCACCTGTCTCTGACTCCCCATTAAACCACTCAGTCTTCTGTCCCCTGACCAAGAGCTATGCTGCTATGCTCCTGGTTTCTGTTTGCCTTTTCCCTGTGGCTGTTTGGAGAGCCCTTCATGCAGCTCTCGTCTGTGGTTTCCTGTGCTGTGGATTACCGTGCCACATGGCAGCACATTTTGCCATTGTGTGTGCGCCACAGGATCCACTCATCATTGCCATTGTCAAGACCCTTGCTGCTTACAGTCAGCTCTGCACAGGTGTGTTGGCTTCTCCCGTGTTTACGCCTGGTTCTGGACTCCCTGCTCGTCAGACATCGCCTTCTGCCTACTCCCTCGCAGTATTGTTGCACACCTTTGAACTATTTGCCGTTTGGACTGAACCTGTGTCTTGGAAATTCCCGAGCAAACAAATTGACTCTTACTGTTGTTTTACCTGCCTGCTCACTCTGTGTTTGACATTATAAACTGTCCTTCCGTCTTTGGTGCTGCTACTGGGTTCAGAGGCAGCATACGCAGTACATAGTATGTATTTTCAAAAACACTCATAATCTTGCCTGACAGAATTGTATTCCCCGAACGCTGTTTCCAACTCTGTCCAGAGGAGGAGACCAACACATCACTCCCATGACATTGGGGATCACCAGCAGTATGGCACCTGACACACCAGATTTGGCTGGCACACCCACCTAGGAGATGAGAGATGTGGTATTCATTTCAGGTCAACAAATGGACAAGTGTTTTCTTCACAGCGTAGGTGAAATGATCACTCTGAGGGGTGACGTGTGTTGGCACAGTCACTTCTTCCTGTTTCTTACGTGGAAGGCCATCTGGCCAGAGAAGTCATACATGCCACACGAGTGCATGAGACTCAGAGTGTTTCGCACTGCCTCAGCGCTCAGGACACGCTCGCCTGTGACTGGACAGATCCCTCCGTTGGCCAGAGTGGCGGCCATGATGCTTCCTGATTCGCAGGTCACCTCGATGGAGCAAAGCTGAAACCGCAACAGGATCATTTCATGGTCAAAACCATCAAACCTACTTTCATTACAGCTGAATCAATATCAGGCTACTCGACATTATAGATTTGCTGCTTCTTTATGAAAAGATCCCTTCGTGGCAGAGATGTGTACCTGGAAGTAGAAGTCCAAGGCATCGATCATTTCTGCTCCCGGAGGAAAACACTGGTGAATGAAATATAATCATCGTCACTGTTTGATTGACTGAAGTATGCCATCCTAGCACAGTTCAGATGTACTACGGTTTCTCAACCACAACATCAAGAAGCAGTCTGCCTGCTCAAATAGGCTGAAAAGGTCATGAACAACCCCTCTGACATGATAAATTGGCGGTGTACAGATGTGTGTGGGAGATGTATGGAGAGGCCATCGAGAAGGGATTTCAGCTGGCCTCAAAATCGCTGATCTGGCAAATTGATGACGGTAGTAAACATGGATAGAGAGACTTTTTTTTGTGATGAAAAACCGGAGAAAACATTTAAGTGAATTCTGTGGCTAGAGATACCTGCGGGAATAGTGGGTGCAAGACAGACACCCTTTCAAATAAAGAGAAAACATCCTGACAAAATTACATTAAGAAAATATGTATTTACCAGAGAACAATACTAAGGTTTTCAAAATATTAAATAATAAGTAGAGCTGAAACAATCAATTAAGATGTGGGTCAAAGCCAAACATTCTCTGGTTTTTCTAATTAGAGGATTTGCTGTTTTTCTCTTTTTCATATCAGTGTAAACAGATATAACATTGCTACTCCTTAATTTTTCAGTTTCTGATGATTCATAGACAGAATGAATCAATTAAAGTCTGGGTTAAGCAATATCAGTGATTTCTTTCTTAACACATTATACGCGTAACATATGAAAATACTGAGAACTGTGTTGTAGTGAATACTTGAGCTAGACTGTTTTTGGAGTTAAACTGTTTCTCACCATTTCCGTGTCCAGGATGTTTTTGGCGGCCTACAAGCATGCTGGATGATGCACCGGAGCCGTCCTTAACATAAGCCCCTCCCCATACCCACTATATAAATACTATTGATGGAGCCCTGTGTTTGATTTGTGTGAAATGTATTATCCCGCCACGCCACTAGGGAGCTTATGTCACTGGCTGAAGCAGGCCATGGTATTTAAGTTTATCCCACTAAGCACAAGTGTTGCTGGTGTTAGGAAGCAAAAAGTTTTCGACTGTGCTGTGTGAGTTATAGGGATATTATTGACACTGGTGAGAAAATAAACAAATTATGATATACAACATCTGTAAAGATTGGGAGTAGTTTTCTGAGAACACATCCAAACAATTTAGCTAATTGGCAACCAGTAGCAGCTTAAGTGCAGGGCTAGTCACTACAACTATGTTACTGCGAACGTTAGAGCGCATAGCATCAGTGTCTTTTCGTTCGACCACTGGTGATTTCACTCTATCCCACAAACTCTCCTAGCACTTTCAGTCGAATACATAATGAATAAACGCTTTTGTCAAACACTACAATCATATAAACACAAGCAAAATAGCGGCCATTGTAGCACCTTTCAGTGTGGCGCCCCAAGTCGGCTAACGTTACCTGGCCCAGCAGCAGTTACTACTCATTGCTGTGGGTGTGAGCTACTGCTAACTGCTGAACTGCTGTTCTGCGTCTCAGAACTCATTTTTTCACGATTTTGAAACCTAATTTTATAAACTTTCATATACTACTTTTTTAATCATTCAAATTTGGCTCCGTGATTAATGACACATTTTTCTTTGGTGTCACAAACTAATTTACACATCAATATCACATTAGCCACAACTGGACTGGACTGTGGAATAGGCAATTTTATTCTAATTTAATTTTTTATTTCTATCTATGCACTTATTTGAACTTATTTTATTTATGTCTATTTTAATATTACTGTGTTGTTGCTGATGAGGGGAAGTGTGGAATTTCCCTTCGGGGATGAATAAAGTTCTTTCTTTTTCTAATTCTATTTCAATTTAATCAACACTTTAAATAAGAAAATAATTGGCTGATAAGTCTGTAATGAAAACACAGTAATAATTTGTCTCTTTAAAAAAACATAAATTCAAAACAGTCAGTTTGACACGAGTATGTGAACATTAAACATACTTTGTGCAGAACTGTCTGTTACTGTAAGTTTACTGCAGCACTGAAAGTAAACACCGACCCCAGATTCACTCTCGTTTGGTGTCCCGCCTCACTATATTTGCATTTTTTTGGTGTCTTTTGTATGCCTGCTGCTCACTGTTTAGCACCTGGTCGCTACCTTTCTATTAAGTCCCAACCTCCCCTGAGTGCCCATAAATGCCCATTAACATCCTGAACACAGAGACTAAGAGGAAAATAGGAAAATACAAGCAGAAAAACACACCGCCACATACTTCTAGTGGGTCTTAAGTGACGACTGAGAGGGATTACTTCTGTTTGTTTTTTAGGAAAATCCTATTTAGTGTATCTTTTAAGATGATGTCATGGAAACATAAAAGCATTAGGCAAACAGATGCAACAGAAAACAAAAAGCATCTCTAATCCTACATATTTCAGCATTTTCTGTAACCGACCTTCTTCTCTTTCATGTAGTATCCAATGGCAAAATTTCTGTCGCCTGTTTCTTTTTCTGACTGGAACCTGAGACGGAGAGGCAGAAGGGGGTCAATACTGAAACATCAATAATGCAATAGAGCAGTGGACAGGCAATTTGCCCAGCACTGTCTGTCAACTTAGGTGTGCTAAAGGGAGATATTTTAACTTAAAATACCTTGAATTTATTCGACAATACACTCACGTGGCATTGCTGAATCCCACATACTCTTGGCCTGCCATCTTTTTCACAAACTCCATCACCTAGATGAACAAAGACAAAGGTTTTAAGTGTAATGCGGCACATCTGACCACCAGATCATCAACCCTCAGCTTCATATTCATGCTCATAACAAAGGAAAATCAGAGTCGCACTACTTACATAGTCAAACTTCTCTGCCTTATTTGAACGAGGCTGAAAACAAAGCGAGAGTCATTGGCTTGTGTTGACTGTAATTACCACATTCATGCCATTCACATTCATAGACACTGAACTCAACTGATGACCGATGACTTCAGTACTATTTTAACACCATGTAAGACAATACATGAATGTATAGCTGACTGTATAATTTAGTAGCCTATTATCTGGTGCAGCACAAGGCAACAGATAGGCAGTGATTGCAAGGCACAGAGCTCACATAGAGTTCAGGGAGTATATCACAAAACAGAACTGCAGACAACTGTGGGAAACATAAAACTGTTTTTTCTGATTTGAATCTGCAAGACAAGCTTTGAACACGTTAAAGAGAAGCAGTCAATAAGGTAAGATTTGTGTCTAAATATGTCTAAAAAATAAAGATGTATTAATAACTTGTTACTGCTGCTTTGTGACATTTCCCCCTAACAACCCGCAGGCTCCAAACTAGAACACACTGCAGGGCCAAACTGGGGTGGCAGGACTAGTTTATTATTTATTTAATGTGAAAATAGAAAAGTTTTGTACTGTAACTTATCATTAGAAAACTTATCATTAGAAAATGAAGGCTCAGTTTAGACTGTATATGAAGATGGATGACATGACAGCTCCCCAAAAATGAAGCCAAAACATCTCCATCGCCCCCTGGTGGCTGGCTGCAGTTCAGTTCATAAACCCCACCCCCTCCATGTAAGCAGATGGATGCGGGCCAAGCTAAAAACTCAAAGTGCACATCAAATGAATGTCTCCAAAAGATGGTTTCTGTTATTTTGAGTAGCACTTATCAAGCTGCTGTATGTTCAAAAAATTTCACTTATCTGACTCCAAAGTAATAGTCTGCGAGGATTTTCTGTGGCACTGACTTTGCTAAAAGGAAAGTGATTTACTGAATGTGCTGACTTGTCACTATGACACGAGGCTGTACCTGTCCGTCTGTTTACCTTGATAAGAGAGCTGATCACTATGGCTCCAGCGTTTACCATGGGGTTGTGGGGTTTATCTGGGGGAAAGGACAACGAGATAAGACACAATGTTAACAAGGACTTCTATACTAAAAAAAAAAGTGCCATAATGAAGTTTAAGGAAGTTCTGTACATGCTGCAATTCAGCTGTAAAAAAACATAAACAGGCTTTCTTCTGATAATGACAATTACTTTAAATATTGATCATTTATTATTTCATTTATTATCATTTGTTTATAATAATAATAATATCCTTTATTTATACAGTGCTTGTCAAAACAAAATGCTTTACATGGTTGATCCTGGATTTAAAACAATGCCGGATTCGAGCAAATGAAATGAGGCAATTTCAAGAAAATACAAAGACCAATAAAAATAAAATAAGAATAAAATACCATCACCGAGGCAGATAAACAAAGTTTGCAACTAACTGCCCTGTAGATTGCACTGAGGTACAGCAAATATGTCAAACAATTAGAGTAATACAAAATAAAAGAATATAATAACCGATGGCAACATAAGATAAAAACAATAAAATACTCAAATAAGAAATATACAAAATAAACAGTCTGCTGAAATTAATAAATGGCTTTTTTGAAAAGATAAGATTTAAGAGGTGATTCAGCATGCCTTATTTAGTCTCAGGTCTGACCTGTTTTTCTGTTTTGTGTTATCGAAAAAATAGTCCACTAATTAAGAAAAAGTAATTTGAAATTACTCATTATGCATTATTAAATAATAGAATTAACTATTAGTTATTTTCAGACAAGGACATTTAAACTTCGTGATCATTTTGTGACTCTGACTTGCTCTCATCTAACACCAGCAGTCCAGCACGACTGAAACTGGGACAGTTTGATCACCTGATAGGGTTACAAATATGCAAGCAGGAGTCAAATGTCTGGAGTAGTTTCAAAATGTGTAAAGATGATCCCCAAAAATGTGAGGGCCAGACATGTTTAAGAGAAACCAGCATATCACAACTCTACAACCAGCCTGACAAATCACATGAAAACTGTAAGAAAGCTTCTAGTATCCTTTTTTTCCCAAGCTCTCATGGCTAATGTTACTGCGACCTACATGCTAACAATGTGGCAAATTGTCACGTTATTTTAGGTGCATGGACTGAAAACTCATGTTTCAGAAACAGTCCGACTCATGTCCTCATCTCCTATTCCATCCTCCTCCCTCTGAGGCTTGGATAAATGGTGGATTTTTCTCACTAAAGCTTTGATGCTCAAATACTGGTATTCGGGACAGCCTGAAAAAGGCTTTCTTAAAAATAGTGAAAAATGTCCATCACTGTTTTGCAGTGCTCAAGGTGACATTTTCAGATCCCAAATAGTTTGTAGCTAAAACAGAGAAGACTCATCTACCAAACTCAGTAGATGTGTGCTGTACTGCACCATCGCCTCTGTTGGTCGTCCTATACGTCCTCCCATTGTCTGATTACAGTTATATGAACTCTTTTCATGGAGGAGCAGCCAGGTCATTAATCACTTTGTACACTAGACGAGCATCAGCTAGGCACACAAAGCTGTCAAAGGTCAGTAGGTGATGCCTTTGATGGTGTTACAGTGGTGATAACATGATGTTTTTTGTCCAGTGACTTGAGTGTTTGCTTGTAAGGTATTTGCAGTGTTTTTCCAGCTTGTAACCAGCTTGTAATGCAGTATAAAATATGTGAAAGCTCTAAAGCTTGCTTTATTACTGTATGTAATCGTCCTCTGAAGACACACTTGTTTGGTGGCCAAAAAAATATCATGTAAGATGTATTAAGATACAAAATGGTGAAAATATGATGGTACTGTTCTCAGTTTCACTTGAGGGAATCCACCCAGTGAGCAAACACACTAATGCAGACAGTAGTGAGGCCCTTACACACCTTCATCATCAAGTGAGAGCATGTTGAACTTGAGTCCACTGGGCTCCATGCCGACATAGCGGTGAACCTTCTCTGTTCCCGCCTCGTGGACGGCGATGGCGTACTGCAGGGGCTTCACGCAGGACTGCAGGCAGAACGGCTGCTTGGTGTCGCCCACTGAGTGCCTGCAGGAGGAAGACAGAATGTTTACAGTCTCACTGAACATTAAACAAATTCGCTCTGACAGTCACACCTGGAAGATGTTCTGCGCTGTCTGGCAGTATTGCTCAGCGCTACCACAGTCGCATGAGTCAGCTACTCAGCAGCAATACTGGGGCAGTTTCACGGTTAGGTGTCTTCCTCGAGGACATTTCAGTAAGGAAGACGGCGAGCACTACTTGTAGCTTTCTAGATTTATCCTCCATCTTTCATCAAAAGACTGAGCCTGAAAACTACAAAAAACAATAAAACATTGTGCCAATATCAAAAAACAGTTTCACTCTGCAACTCTGTGACAGGAGAGAAACAAGTTAATTTGTTCATTAATTCACAAAATAATAAAGTTATGAACACATTCCAATTTAGACTGTTTTTATTACTATGTTCATAAAAGCATTGATCTTAAAAAGAATCAGGCCCTCCTGACAGCCTGCACATTTCGGTTTCAGTGTTCTAGCTTGTTAACATTCCCGCACCTCTATCTCACTCTCTGCTGCTAGTAGACTACTTCACCTGGAAGAGTGTGGATGGCAGCTCTGTGGATGTAGATGCAGTAAGGATGGCTGTTACAACTTAAATTCAGCCAGGTGATTTTTCCCTTGGAGATACACACTCCTCAATCTATACCTCCATAGTTAGGCAGTTGCTTAGATAACTAACCAGGCTAACTTTTCCCCCCTCACATGCAGAGTTTGCCTGATGTCAGACAACTTGTTACTCTCCATTTCAACCCGTTTCAACTTGGTGGAGAGGGCGGATTTAAAGGTCTGGACCCAGGTAAACATAGACTGATACTGAAATGTGTGACGTCATTGTTGTTGTATGTGGTAACAGATCAGATTGCTCAATTTGAGCTGAATGTTTTATAACTGACAGGACAAGTCTGTTAACATTGAAAGTTCATTCTTAATCCTGGAAACACAAGTTAACATAACAACCTCACCACAAGGTCCATTTAGTAGCTGTTCTGGAGCTTTCAATCATATTGCATGGTCTTCCTCAGCATTAGTCAAATCAAACCTCAACTTTTAGGTCAACCAGGAAGAGAAGTGCTCAGAAAAAAATAATTTGGACATCTAGAATTGAGGCAACATGGTGGCACAGTGGTTAGCATTGTTGCCTCACAGCAAGAGGGTTTCTGGTTTGAAGCCGGGGTGGGGGGTTCGAGTCCTTCTGTGCGGATTTTGCATATTCTCCCCGTGTCAGCGTGGGTTTTCTCCAGGTACTCCAGCTTCCTCCCACAGTCCAAAGACATGCAGGTTAATTGGTGACTCTACATTGTCCATAAGTGTGAATGTGAGTGTGAATGGTTGTCTGTCTCTATGTGTCAGCCCTGTGATAGTCTGGCAACCTGTTCAGGGTGTACCCCGCCTCTCACCCAGTGTCAGCTGGAATAGCCTCCAGCCCCCCGTGACCACCAACAGGAAAAGAATTGAAGGAAGACTGGGGAAACTGTCTATTGATGACTAAATGGAGCCTGTGGTGAGACTCTTTCTCTCAGTCTGTAATTCTTACCTCTGACCATCCACCGTACACAAAGACACACCCCACAGTTCTGGATTAAATTTAGCAAGTTGGGGGATGTAGTCTGCAACCTAAATCCAGAATACAAAAGAGAAACACAGCAACAGTTAAATCACTCAGTTTAATATTCAGAGCAAATAAAAGCACCGCAGCACCGGAGGCATCAGTAGAAAATGATTTTGCACCAGCAGGAAGTTGGTATAAGGGAAGGTCAGTGAAATGGGACACGATCAGGATTCCTACAGTGTGCATTTTCTGTCTCATACGGTAACACCATACATCTTCAATATTAGTTTTGATGCATGCAAATATTGAGAAGGCAGTATGAATTTAAAGAAAGCGGTGCCAGTCTATAACTGCAGATTGTTTTTGATTATATCACATACTTCTTGTGTGATTCATTCAAAACCTTTATACGAACCTCGTAATACTAAAATACATTTCCCATCTCCAAACAGTAATGAACAAATAAATGCATACCTTCCCCTCACTTTGGTTTTGCACCGTGTTGTAGATTTCATTTATTTTCTGTGCAAACACGTCAAACTCGGGGATGATAAATTTCTTTCTGAAGGCCTGAATCAGCAGGACGATGTTTCCTCCGACACACCTGAAGGAAAAACAATAATGCAGAGATACTCAGGAGCACTTAATGAAAATAGAAGACAGTTGAAGTTACCTTCAAGGACACACACCAGACTCAGGACGAGTTCAATGGGGACAGCTTATCCAAAGCCATGTGCCCACAAAAATAGATTTTTGGTTCAGTGACTAAGGTTAGGGTGAGGTTAAAGATGGGGTGAGATCAAGGTTAGGTTTAGGGTTAAGGTAGACCTCTTTGGTGGTGGCGCACATGCCACACTCGAGCCAGCTTTGGATGGGGGCGAGTGCACACACCAAGTCACTGCTGCAAGACTCTCCATTCCAAACAGACTTTGCTTTGGTTAGCTTCTGTTCATTAAGGTCATTGTGTAGTCATTAACTGCCGGCACTGTTACTGCCCTATTAAAGCATGACCCAGCCAGATGGATGGCAGGTGTTTGATGTCGATACTTTAGGCACTGATAGGAGCGTTATTGTGTTAATGAGAGTAGCTTCATATTAATGGTATTCTATCTTTCCAAACCCACATCAATAACGTCACCCGGGCTGCGTATTTCCATCTTCGCAATATCGACCATCTTCGTCCCTCCCTCACACCCAGCAACTCCACCATACTGGTCCACTCCCTCGTCACCTCTTGTCTGGATTGCTGCAACGCCCTTCTCACTGGTCTCCCCCTCAAATCCCTCCATAAACTTCAACTGGTCCAAAATGCTGCTGCCCGGATCATCACCAGAGCACCATCCATCCAGCACGTCACTCCTGTCCTCCATCAACTCCACTGGCTTCCCATACAATACCGCATCCAATTCAAAACCCTACTGCTCACATTCAAGGCCATCCATAACCTCGNCACCCTTCTCACTGGTCTCCCCCTCAAATCCATCCATAAACTTCAACTGGTCCAAAATGCTGCCGCCCGGATCATCACCAGAACACCATCCATCCAGCACATCACTCCTGTCCTCCATCAACTCCACTGGCTTCCCATACAATACCGCATCCAATTCAAAACCCTACTGCTCACATTCAAGGCCATCCATAACCTCGCTCCTCCATACCTCACTGACCTCCTCCACACCCACACACCCAGCCGGACACTCAGATCCTCCTCCTCAATCAGCCTCACTGCTGTGCTGTGTTAATGAGCCACTACATGGTCAAATCTACATCCTGTCTCCCATCTGTGTGTTCCGACTGACACCCCAGAGTGAGTGCGATCCTAAATATTCCCCAACCAGTTCCACCTATTTTCCATCTATGTAACTTCCCCAAAAGTGACCTAAGCTGTGAGAGAGCAGCAGCTGCCAGCTATCAGCCTAACTGACCGGCCTTTGCTTTGATCATCATGACAGTAAATAAAGCTGACGTGTCCGGAACACACTAACTACGTAACACTGACTTTCACAACTCCAGTTTTTGGCTTCTCGAGTTAAAGGAATATTTCACTACATGTCATACAAATTTCTGACCATGCACATTACATTTCTTTTGGTGTATTTGTTTAAAGGTAAATACCAGATTCATTGCAGGTCCAACGAGTGACTTCTAAATTACTGAAATATTAGATTCCCATGAAATGATTCGAGGTTGTTTGCAAAACCTAATAATTATCAGTAATTTTTGTATGACCTGCATTATATTACAAGACCTGTTCTTTCCATGGGAGGCAGGGTTGGGGGTTCATAGCATGATTACTCTGCAGTATTAAAGACTTAGAAACGACGATAGAGTTCATCAAAACCTTTCAGTCAGTCTAGGCAAACATGTAACATTCACAAAAGAATTAATTAAATTGCATTACATTATAGATGTGATCACGGTGCTTCTGTACTTCTGACTTCCTCCACATTCTTCACACTGTAATTAAACTTCTAATTAATTACTTTTAATCAGCAATGTGAACTACGTGTTTAAGACAAGGGAGGAAATGAGAAAGATAAAGGCAGAGACACGCAGAGAGACAGTGGGTCACATCCAACAAATGCTTCATTAGAAGGGATTGTTGTGGGAAGGTCAGACTAAAAATAGTTTGGTGTCATGCCTGCACTGGGAGGTGAATGGAAAACTAAACACCATGAGACAGTCAGCAGTGAGACACAAAGCCATACTGGGGGCCCATTAAAACTGCATCTACGTACTTTAGGTTTTCAGCTGTTGTAGTGAGTTGTTGTTTATTAGTTCACTAATCATCTGATTGTTTGATTCAGTCCGAACCACCTGTCTCACCTGTGGAAAAGATCTCTGTCCATCATCACCTCACCAACAGATTCCCTCACAGCCTGTCGAAACTTCTCCATGCAGTCCTTCAGACGAGGGTCTGACGGGTGGAGACCCGTTTTCTTCAGGGCCTGTGAACAACACAGGACCAGATGAACACATTATAATGATAGAACCATAAAGTAATACAATGATAGATAGATAGATAGACAGACAGACAGACAGATAGAACAATAGAACGATAGAACAATAGACAGGCGGAAGGACAGACAGAGAGACAGATAGATACGTGATAGATAGATTGATAGAACCACAGAATGATAGACAGAACCACAGATAGATAGAACAATAGCTAGAATGGCAGATACATAGATCAATAGGTAGAACGATTGAACGATTGAACGATAGAACAATAGACAGACAGACGGATGGACGGACGGACAGATGGAAGGATGTATAGATAGATAGATAGATAGATAGATAGAAAGAAACATACATAGACAGAACAATAGAATGATAGAATGATATGGGGACGAACAGACAGAGGCAGAATCATAGAATGATGGAACGATAGATAGATAGATAGATAGATAGACAGACAGACAGAACAATAAGAATGAATGATCGACTGAACAATAGATCGAACGAAAGATCGATAGGTAGAACGTTAGATAGATAGATAGATAGATAGATAGATAGAACAATTGATTGATAGAATGATAGGCGGACAAACAGACAGACAGATAGGTAGAATGAGAGAACAAAAGAATGATTGATAGAGAGATAGACAGAAAGACAGATAGAACAATAAGAATGAATGATCGATTTAACAATAGATAGAATGAAAGATAGATAGATCAATAGGTAGAACACTAGAATGTTAGAACGCTAGAACGCTAGAACGCTAGATAGATAGATAGATAGATGGAAAGACAGACAGACAGACAGACAGACAGATGACAGATAGATGCTGGTTCAGGGGTTGGTTGTGTTCCTGTAGTTACTTACAGAGATAAAGTATGACATGGGGATTTGCTCTTTTCCCTCTGTGATGGTGTAGAACAGCATGTCTTCCACTCCAGAGCTGGGAGACTTTGAATGGACATTCCTGAAGAAGGGAGGAGTGAACTCTTTAATAAGCGGAAAAGCGACCACTTACTATGTACGTACACACAGCTGCAAAAGACATGGCTGAAACAATAGTTGTCCTCTAAACTGCTAATTAGGTTAACTGTTACACAGCTGGGCTGTTCAGTCATGCAAAATATCAGCAAAGCAAACTGCAAATATCACTATTAGTGTTGTCAAAAATATAAATGTATCAGGACAAATTGATTCTGGGAATGGGTTTTAATACTCAGTCATTATTTTGTGACCTATACAAGAAACAAGACAATCTTCAGATGCATTTGCAGATAATAGATAAGTGTCACAGCAAAACGTTGTATTTATTTTGTATATGTGTGATGATTTCAGGTCTGTTTCTCAAATAAAAGCAGGTTCTTTTTATTTTTTGTTTTTATATATTGTGTCTGTTTTTTTAACCTGTTGAAACCTGAACAACATCACTTTTCTTGTGCTGCTTTCAGGCACCTTTGGCAGGAATTATACCTTTGAACTCTGAGCAAATTGGTACAATTTCTTTTAAAAAACATGGAGAAAAGGCAATGAGCAAAAAAAAAAAAAAAAAAAAAAAAAAACTTTAGTAAATTATTATTATTTTTTTAATTAGGGGGAAAAAGCTAATGAAAATGAATAAATAAATAAAACATTATTTTTATTATACTTTATAACAATAATATGTAATAATGATAATTTATAATTATTATAATTACATATTTAAAATGATGGAACAGACTTTTTGAGCACTTTTTCCAGGTCCAGGTGTTCTGTTGTTTTTAACTTTATTTGTTTTCTTTATTTTTTAACTAATTTTATTGTTTTGAATTTTCTCTTTTTACTAATTTCTTGCAAATTTGTTTGGGTCATTTCTTCTTTTGCTGCTCACTGTCTTCTTCCAATGTTTCTTCCGATGGAATCAAGCCAATTTGCTCAGGTTTCAAAGGGTTAAAGGTTCACCTGAAATATGGGTAAATATGGTATCTCTGAAGCTTAGATGTCACACTTTAAAACCTCGAATATTAAAGTGCTGCCTCATTTATAGCTCATATGCTGGTAACTGTTACCCAATATGTCCACCATTACAGCAGTAACTATATATAATATACAGTAGCCTATAAATACACTTGAGTTTGTCTTCACAAAGTGATACAGGCCCAAGTCAAACTCATATTTCAGTGTGGCTGCTGCAGGACACTCAGAGTGTCCTCACTGTTCAGGACACTCAGGTGTTGACACTCACACTGTTTACTGTCCCCTCACACACAGACACTTACATTTTGAGATGAGGATCCAAGTGTGTTGGCGGCGGTCGCTGGGACGTCGTTGTTGACTTGGTGCTCAGACAACATGCTGGCTGGATGATGAAAACCTTCTTCGCCGCATCTGTGTGTCTGACGATCAGTTGGACAGAGTTGGACAGACGCAGGGCTCTCAGGCACAACATGGCTGCTGTCCACAGCTCGGTTAGACGCTGAGGTATAAAAACAGGAGAGGTAACGGCGTCTGTAGGTGACGGTTGGTTGCTCTTACAGAGCCAACGGTTCACGCGAGGTTAATGACTTTCATATAACAGACTGAAGTTTTGATGCCTTCAGGTGACGTCGGGAATTTTGTCTTCTTGACTCGTTGACTTTTATCCAATCAACGCGATACAGCTTTAACTGTTAAAAGCATTGGTAGATCAGCTAACATTTACTCCAGCACTGTACTTAAGTAGGTTTTAGAGGCACTTGTACTTTACCTGTGTATTTCCATTTCTACTTATACTCAAGCAGCCTGAATTCAGAGGGAATTTTGTACTATTCCATAACAACAGTTATATTCAATTATATTATATATTATATTATTCTGTATTATTCTGTTTTTTCATTTTGAGGAATATTTTAACATATGTAGAGACCCAAAAAACAAGGTAGAAGGGAAGAAATACATATGCATACATAAAACATAATCAAACGAAAGCATATACAATATCAGGAAATCAGCTACAATAACATGATGATAATAAATTAAAAAAGAAAAAAAAAGCAAATAACTTTTCCATTATTTCATAGGATGTAGTTAAATAAACCCATAAATTTAAGTTTAATTTAGAGAATAAGTTATATAACATCTAGGTATACCATACGTACACACAAATATCAACACATACGAGGCAACACATGCCTATTCATACATGCTCACACCCATAAATGTGTGTGTATCCAAACATGGACACATAGTTACCCACATATTTACTGTATGTGTACGATTAAGAGCAAGATAACACCTCTATGCTATCAGTCTTATTACTTCAGCTGTCATATAATCAATTTTATATATCGCAAACCATTTTTCCTATTTTTCTTCAAAAATATGCACTTGATTTCTAACTCTCATGGTCATTTTTTTCCATTTCGAATATCTCCTTCACAAGATCCTTCAATTTAACATTGGTTAAGTTATCTTTTACCGGTTCCTTGTAATTTTTTTTTTAAATAATTTCGACCCTACAGTGAATAATTTTAGGTTGCTCTGTGTTTTAAATATATATTTTTATGCTAAAACTTGAGTACTTTTACTTCAGTAAAAATTTGAATGCACAATTTTTACCTGTATCAGAGTACTTTTAAACTGTGGTACTGCTATTTTTTACTTGTGTATATGTATATATCAATGCATTAATAACTAGAATTCAAATAAACAGCATACATTATTCTGACACGGGTCATTCTCTGCATAATGAATACTTTTAGGCTACTTGGTGTTTTAAGCATATTTTGATGCTTATATGTGTGTACTTTATTTCAATAAATTTGAAATATTATGAATTTTACCTGTAACAGAGTACTTTTAACTGTGGTATTAAGTAAATGTAAAGTTAAAGATCTGAGTACTTCTACCACCACTGGATAAATATCATATCAGCCTATAAGCCTAATATTTGACACATGTATGCGCTTTAATATGCATAAAATACCTCAACTAAAACAACAACTTTGGCTCCTGGACACACTTGAGCCAAAAGAGAAATTTAAATTTTACGAGGGACCCCTGAAGGTAGCATGGGTCCTGCATGGTAAATTACAGGCACGCTATCTAATGTGGCAGCTGTCAGTTGACTGACAGATACAGTAGCCAATCAGGGCTAGTGGTGTATTTTGGAGAGCAGAGTTCTGCCATGCTGCCACAAGGACTTGGTGTGGGTGTTTATTTACGGTTTTGTCACCATATAATTCAGTATTATGGATGAGACAGATCAACAATATTAGAGCACTGAGCAATAGACTAGCTGTGATGAAATCATAACATAAAGTCACACCTGTCACTAACTCAAGGATATTTACATCTGAAAAAACCTTTGACCTGTTGCGTAACAACTCATGGTGAACAAGTTTCTCAGTTTATTATTATAATCACTGCCTGCTGAACCTGCTCAGTACATCCTGTCAATAACTGATGACTGAACTGATAGCTTACATGAACTGTATGAGCAACAAAAAATGTAATTAAGACAAATTAACAACTCAAAGTAACACAGAAGTAGGTGTAACGGCTTATATTTGAATATCTTACACACCATAACATACTAAAGACATTGTTAAAACTTAAAATATATATTTTTCTTGACAGCAGAATCCTGTTTATTTAGCCTCTGATGGTTAACAGCATCCATATCAAGGAACATAAATAACAGTGTCAAAAGGCACAGCAAAGTGTTAACAAACAAAACAACAATTAAACAGTAAATTATACAATACACTTTCATTATTTCACGTATTTCACCTCAAGCAGACATCACACAGAAAAAAACAAAACAAAACTTTAACATGGCAGATTAGACATATAAATATAATAACAGCAACATCAGATCATTGCATGGCCAGTGTAGATAAGGAATATGGGTACTTTAAAAAAGGCAAAAGATTAATTTATTTAAGTCAGCATCTGCACTGCATCAAAATGACACAAAATGGCTGATAAGTTTTAAGACATTTCTTCAAAGTCATCATTACACGCTCTTTGACGGACGAGGCAGCACCAACCTCAGCCCAATGTCAACCACACAGGAAGGCATGTAAGAGAGGGGGATCCAGATGAGCTTGGCATCCCAGCCGGGACTGTATCTGGTGCGTGGGTAGGCAGCGGTCAGAGCGTGCTCCATGCAGCCGGTCACCTTGGAGAGGTCAGTGTCGCAGACAGCGTTCATGATCAAGCGCTGGACCTTGATGTCTGAAAATGAGACAGTGAGTGAGTGAAGAGATATTTTCTGCATTAAACTCAATTTCACTTTATAGGACAGTTCACCCCCAAAATAAAAAAAAAAACATATTTTTCCTCTTACCTGTAGGGCTATTTATCAATCTAGATAGTTTTGGTGTGAGTTGTAGAGTGTTGGAGACATCTCAAAGTGCTAAAATAAAGTCTGTGGATTATCTTTAGTTACCAGGTCATCATTTCTGGAAATTGCTGGACATTGCTCTTGAGTTTTTTTAAAATGTATTTTTCTGGCACTTTGAGCACCACAAGCTAAGTGCCATCTAGTTCCATTATATTCAAGAGAAGGCAGACATCTCTACGGCCGACATCTCCAACACTTGACAACTCACACCAAAACAATCTAGACTGATAAGTTTTATTTATCCTTTATTCAACCAGGAAGTCCCTCTCTTTTACAAGAGAGACCTGGCCACGGTAGCAGCCAATCAAAACATATTTAAATACAACATATAATACAAAAATCCACAATAAAACAACAACTATTCAAACATAGTGGCCTCAAGCAAAGCGCTCCCACGCAAACATTGTTTTGTATGTATTGTAGGCTTGGGAAGTATGTAATTTTTCATACCATCATACCTTCCTGAAATTTCACCGGGGTATATATATATAGTATATGGCTGTATGAGTGTGCAGCATCTGCACCCACCCAAAACTCACCCTAACCATCTTGGTTACTCCTGTTACTCATCCAGCTAGTGTTCCAACACTCAAAAACTCCAGTTTGATAGTTATTATTACAGTATCTTGTAACTTAGCTGCCTGTTCCACCAGTAGAAACTGGAGACCGACCTCTGGTGGCACGGGCTGTGCATACAGTGAGTTTCATAGAGAGGAGCGCCTGTATTTGTGACAGTATTGACAATCATACCATCCGGATTCCTGAATACCCTGTTTACCTTAATACTGTGATAACCGCCCAAGCCTAATGTATTGTATATCAAGAGAGATTCATGATATTTTAACATCCTAAATGTAGGCTATGTATTATTTTAACATTATTAAAAAGTATGTGACAGTATTTTTGCAAACAATCACATTTCATTGTGACTTTAAAGCTCATAACTTAAAATTTTTAGTTTGAGAATGAGGTTTATTCAACTCTTGAAATGTGTCTCGTATTTTCCAACAACAGAAATTGTGACTGTGATCAAAATCACAATCATAAAACAGGTACAGATAAAGTATTTTTGTGTCACATTTCAAATAAATGCTTACTCACAGTTTGCATTATAAGCCCAGAACAAGGATTGGCAGTCCACTTACACTTATCAAGGTATTTGTCTCCATAGCTGGCCTGCACTTCAGGGCTGAGCTGGTTCCACAGGCGATGCAGCTCCCTCTCGAGGGGGTCGAGGCTCGTCACTGCCGTCTTAAAAAACCCGGGCTCAATGATGCACACATTGATTCCAAAGTAGTTTATATCTCTCCTGGAAACAGAAATGTCAGTTCATAGTATTATATATAAACAACAGAGCTTGAAACAAGTTTATAACACCAGCTGCAGTAAATGTTCTTAGTGGCTTGAGTGTAAGAAATGAAAACACAATATTATATCTAGTAAATAAACGCAATAAGCCTGTCTGGTCTCATGAGCCAATATCATAATGTATTTGTCTGCCTGGCATACACTGAGGCTGTTTCTTTTGTGTATTACTGCAATTTCTTCAACGTAATGTGTTTTATTGCTCTAAATGTGTGTTATTGTTTGTCTTTTATATAACAGAAAATGTCTGGAAACCAAATCTCCCTCATGGGACAATGAGGATATGAAGATTATGACTTGAATTACTATTTGTCCTTATAATTAGAATATAGGTCTTTCTAAAGGAGAGAGAAAGAGGATTATTGGGGATTTGGGGGAGTTTCTGTTTCTCCTGGCCCATAATATTAATGGCTAACTGGCTCCACAGAATGCTTTCTTTGTGTTTCATAAAGCAGGTTGTTACAGCACGCTCTTATCTGATGTTGATGAGGTTGTGAAAGACTCACCTGAGGCAGTCAGAGAAAGACTCTACTGCAAACTTGGAGATGCAGTATCCTCCACCGTTCGCAGCCACCCGGCCCAGCACCGACGCTACGTTTACAATACGGCCACGAGCCTTTTTGATGAGGGGCAGGAAGGTCATCGTCATGGAGATCACCCCATTCATGTTGACTTTCAGCGTGCTGTGGAAATCCTCCACTTTCATCCACTCTGAAGGGCCCATGGGTAATGAACGTCCAGCATTGTTCACAATACCCCAAAGTCCTAAAAATAAAAAAGGAAATGAGAGACAAAAGGTGGAAGGACATATTTTGTGTTACAGATCTGCCTTGTGGAATTTAATTAACATCATTTTATTAGGGCTGGCCCAATATCTGATTTTCACAACACGATTATCATGGCCAAAGAGTTCACGGTAACAATATTATCGTGATATCTATAAAATGGGCTTAGCAAAATAAAATACAATAAAATAAAAAATAAAAATGAAATAATAATAATGATGGTATGCAGTCAAATTGATCTTTAATGTTGTTTATTGTGTGTTTTGTCTTATTTCGTAGAATGTAGTGTGACGTGTATCCATTTTATAAACTTCGCGTCAGTTTACGTCCTGTCAGTTCTACAGTAACGTGACCTTTGCCTCCACTAATTCACTTTTCACAGTTAACTTATATTGTTGATAGTATTAACCATTTGCCAGTCAGCTAGCCTAGCTGGCTAGTAAAATGAGGAAAAGCACCATCAAGACCACGAGGAGTGCAGTTAGCGCTACAAAAGTTTGCTGCTTGCTTTCACAAGATGGTAGCCTATACGTCGTCAGTCACTTTAATATTTTTGGGAGCTCTTCCATGCAACAAGTGTTAGCCATAGTGACCTAACGTTAGCTTAGCTACCAATATCAGGCTAATGTCAGTGCTGAGTGACAAACGTTAGCAAATGTTTATCTTCTAAGACATTGAGGTGATTATCAATTTGATCAAAAACACTAAAAAAAAAAAGTGAATAGTAAATTTGTAAAATGTAAGTTAAAGCTAAAGCTAACTGTGAAAAGCGTAGTCTATTTACTTCCTGTCAACTCTACAGTACTTTAACATTATCACCTTCGCCCCTACCTTATTGATCACTGCTTTTTTTTTAACGTTACTTCAGTTTTCACAGTTAGCTTAATAGAATTTATTTCTGTATGTAGTGTTTTTGAAAATATTAATGTGGCCGGCGTACACCGGCTTGTAAAAACAAGCAGTAAATAGAGCTAATGGTGCTTTTCTTCATTTTAGTAGCTAGCTAGGCTAGCTGACTGGCTGGGAACTGCCCATTGGTTCGACAGCCCATTGGTTCGACATCCCATTGTTCTGACCATATTAAACTCATTGTTCCGAAGTCTGTTCCGAAATCATCATGATGCCCTGTGGTTAAGGTCTGGTTAGGTTTAGGCACAAAAACCACTTGGTTAGGGTCAGGAAAAGATCATGGTGTGGGTTAAAAAGAAACAAAGAAAGTGACAAACACATAAGCCGTGAGCCTGCTCCGCCTCAAGCAGGTCGCGGCACACCATACGCCAGCCGCGAGCCGTTCAGCACCGTGGACAGTCGGACTAATGGGATGTCGAACTAATGGGCTGTCGAACCAATGACATGGACCCGACTGGCTAACTATTAACCTCCTATGACCTGCGTCGTCATCTAAGGACATTACATTTTGGGGTTGCTGCACCTTATACTTCATTCTTCTTAAGATATGTCGTCATTGTTCATGGACACTTTTTTGTGCCATAAAGTTGTGGCAAATCACAATACACTTATTCAATTAAAAACAAGATGGCGGCCATCTCTGCAAAGTCAATCTAGAGCTGGTCTGGACACAAAAGTGGACAAGGTACAAACCTGATCAAACTTTATGGTTGAAACGTATGATTAATAATGTTTGTAGATTGATATGGCAACAAATTACACCAATTTTAGCTAAGCTAAGCTGTTAATTAGGGAGATCTTGTTTATCATTGTGTTTATCATCATCATTGTGTTATCGCAGCATTTCACACAGGCCAATAAGGTATGACAGACTGTTTCTACAGACAAAAAGAATATTCCTAGCTATGGAGCAAGGAAAATTCATGGAGATACAAATTGAACAAATCACAAGGCTTTTGAATATGTTATATATGCAAATTTGCTTGTGCGCAGCCATGCTCAGGCGTCGAAAAGAACAATTTTGAAGAGTTTTCCACTTGGACAGTGACCCCTAACCTAGAGAGTGACAAAAATGCTGCACTGTTTACAATTTTGATTTTGCTTTTGTTTTGCACAACATGTTCGTGTGTAGGCATTAAAATGATCAGTTTCATACTTTGTTACATAATTGTGACCGCTAAAATGAATCCAGTGTGCTCATATGAGTACATCACTTTTTTCAAAAACTACTGCCTGTTTTAATACAATGCTTTGTTGTTTACACTTATCAGGTATCTTTCCAAAAATAGCAAGGATAAATTAGAAAACGCTTACCAAAGAAAAGCTGGGGTCTCAGGAGGTTAAAATGATCATAAACACCTTGTACTAAAACTAATAGTAAATACTTACATCACTAAAAAAGTGCACTTTGATCTCTAAGGTTGTAGGCGAAGGTAACGTTACTGTTATCAGGAAGTAAAGAGATGTGTAATTTGTAAAACAGATACATCACAATACATTGGGAAAGTAGAGAATTACACTAAAAATACAAGTAGGGACGTGAAGAGAGTTTGTAACCAACACTGTACAAAAGAGTACAGAAAGAGCAACTACACCAAATGCATGGTGACAAAGGCAACAGGATGGCTTTGGGGGAAGGAGAAAAGTGAGAATGTAAAGACAAAGAAATGATATAAGAGGTGCTGGATTATTAGCACAATATTTCTAAATATCATGGTTTTCCTCAATACCAATAAATCGTAACACCTATATTTACATAATGCAGCATCAACTCTCACCCTTTTCGCCAACCTCCTTCTTGGTCCACTCCATCGCTCTCTGGACGCTGTCTTGATTGGTCACATCTAGCAGGATGGTCTTCAAATAAGGCCCTGCCACCCTCTTCAGGTCATCAGCTCCCTTTTCTGTGAGACAGCCGGCCAGCACGTGGAAACCTTTACGATCGAGCTTCTTACACAGCAGGTTTCCGAACCCTGAATCGCAGCCGGTCACAAACACATACTTGTCAGTGATGTTCTCAATCTCCAGGCTGTCTCTGTACAGCCACACTAAAGTCCACAACACCACGAAGGTAGCAAAGTTGTACAACCAGGCATTTTCCCTGAAAGAGAACAGAGAGGAGAAGTTTGGACAAGAGGGAGGCAGAGGGATTTGACTTTGAGAAAATATTCTCTATGTGCAAGCTTGGAGGTTATAAAGTTAGGCTACAGCTGCCAAATGACTGCCCAAAACGCAGTGGAGCATGAGTAATTCTTACCCTAGAAGGTCGTAGACAAACTGCGTATCCATGCTGCTTCCACCTGGAGGGCTCAGTGCTCGCTGAAAAAACATGTTGAGCAAATGTTACCAGGTATTGACATGGCGAACTGCCAAATCCGATTTTTCAGGAGTGGAATGGAAAGTAGAAACACAGAGACTTATTTCAGGAATCCCCAAAACCAAATCCCCACTCTATTTCCTAATATTTTCAGGTTTACTCAACCTTTTTGATTACAATGGGATACAATGGGTTTGTTCACAGGGGGCCTTAGTGGAGGTGCTTGTAACACAGAAGTGCTTTGGGCACATGAGAAATCTTTGGATAATACTCTTATGGAAGAAAGAAAGGCATTTGTTATGGAGCTGGACCCGAGGGGTGAGGGGTGCATTGTTTTGAAGCATACATTTAATGCCCTTGACGGAGCTGCTTAAGCTGGCCATTGCAGAAAACCAATTAGTTTTCTGGCTTATTAGTGACAAAAAGATAGATCTATGGGTTATGTTATCCACAATATCAAAATTCCCTGCTGAATTAAATCAGACACGATACTCTTAGTGCTGATGTTGGTGTGATAGCATTAATTAAAATGCAAATAATCCTGTAAAATTACAACAATGGTCAAGCTAATTAAATTTAGTTTCTCAATACCAGTGTGGAGAAATATATCAGAATATCTGAAATATTCATATAAATCTATAAAACTGGATCAGGTATAACTATTCAAACTTTAATTACTTTTTTTGTAAACCTTTGTTACAAAAATTCAAACTAATTAGTTCATGGATAAAATTACTTCGTGATACATTTGCAAGATTTCCAATATTGCAGAGGTTTATCAGCAAAAAAGGGGGACCTAGAATGTGCAAGACAGAGGAAGTACTTCAATGATGAGAGAGATGATTATATGAAAAGAAATGATACAATCCTACCTTTTCCTTTTTATGAGAAGTGATGGATCCCTACAAGTTATCCGTCCTCTCCCTTTCCCTTTCAGGTTATTCTTCTGTCTTAACTCAGAGAAGGCTGGTCAGAGAGAGGCTTTATCCCTCTGGTTTATCCTTTAAGACAAGTCCGCGATTGGTAATCCCCAATCCGTAACCACTTGGTTTGTGCATGTGTGTGTGTTTCAAAAAGTGGTGGGAATTACAGAATACACAGAGAACTTTCCTTACATAATGCAAACTTGGATATCAAAGAACTTTTTTTTAGCTACTTCTCACAGTACATTATCTACTTTCCACATTACATCAGGTACTTTCAAGTATTTTTAGACCCTGGTGGTTCAGAGGGTATGCAGGCTTGTTTTAAGAGTGTTGTAACAAATAAATAATCCCTCAGTTAAAGCCTTGTGCACCCTCAAAAGTATGTGTTAAACCTCCTTGGTTCACTCAGTTCACTGACCCATGATATCAGTTTTATAGCTTAAACAACACATACGGTATAATCTGTGACTGCATGCTGTGATGCACATCTTAAGACTGGTCAGCTCATACAGCAGAGATGTTGACGGTAAACAAGAAGTGGCCATTGTACTATACGATGTATTGTTGGTGCAATAAGGACTTGCTTTACAACTGAATGCTCTATTTAAAAAACTACAATTCAAACTTGCCCTCAGTACATTTCTGTCAAACTGTTGGCTTACATAGAGATGTATTTTTACACTGAGACTATGAGCATGAAGCAAGACTTCTTTATCACAACATCAAAGGCATATTTCTGTTCCCTATGAAGCACAAACTGAAGGATCAAGTGTCAAGTTTTGACACTGGTTTTCTATCCAAACAGCTCACAGTGATTTGAGTGTTAATTGGTTACAAAACACGACTGCAACTACATGCGAAAACCCAACAGCCACGTGTGTCATGACATAACTTTCCTCCCCGTCACACATTCCATGAATTGTCCAATCACCCTCTCCAGGCAAATATTTATCCAGTTATTGTGTTTAGTGGTTAAGCTGTAGTTTTATTGCAAAACTGTGTGCCTAAATTTTAAAACCTTGAATATCTGATGTTATTACTTTGTCATTTGGCCTCCTGCCTACTGCTTCTCTGATCATAAACCATCAAGTTAAACCCAATCCATGACCCAGAAGTCCTTTACAACTATTAAGTTTCCTAAATATTAAACATTTGTTGAAGTCTGACAGTTGTTATTTAAGTGTACCTCTCCCAGCCAGAACTTTCACAGTTCTTTTTCTGACAACTACTGACACCAATGGTGTGTTTGAACATCCTCACAAGAGGATGCTTTCACAATGTGTTATCTAAACGCACATTAGGGAAGCACAATACTGGATTTTTTTGCCGATATATTACAACTTATTTGGCCGATGACTGATATTGATATATCCACTTTTATCCAGACTTAATTTTAGTGAGCATCACGTCTCTTATGTAGTGTTAGTAGAGTTAACATCACATTATACATGCAGACTCTTATCGTGATGGTCCATCAGCAGATGGAAACATGAAATACAATACTTTTTCATGTACATAATATTCGGGGCTCCGGCTCACGACCATTTGCTGCATGTCATCCCCCCACTCTCTCTCACTCCCCCATTTCACTCTCTCCTGTCAATTAAAGGCAAAAGCCCAAAAAAATAATCTTAAAACAAAACAAAAAAAAATGTACGTAATATTCATTCATTATGCAAAAAAAGAAAAAAACACTTTGGCTGATTCCGATGATTCATTTTAAAGCCAATATTGTTGATAACCGATAATGTGCCGCTATTATCATGCATCTCTAACACACATCATTTGGATGATCATCTCCGTACATAATTAGGCTACACATTCTCTATATATTATTCTGTAAACTTTTTTCACATTCCTGCAGAAAACTTTTCAAATTTTTTTAAAACATTTTTTTCACAGTATTTGTTTTCACATTTTTATTGTCTTTTTTTTTCCTTTTAATTTTTATTTATGCTTCTTGGCTGTTTGCGGTACTGTCTTATATCTTAAATTTTCCCCACTATGTTTACTGTTATGCACCATATATGAAAAACTACCTGGCAATAAACCTGATCCTGATTTTTCTAAGTAGCCTGCTTGAGGTCCTTCATGCAAATTTTTCCTTGTACTTATTAATTCCACTTTGCATAACAGCTGTTATGAAGCCTTACATAAACATACACTTCAGTGGTAGATTAAATCTATTCAGCCTTGTTTGATAAGAAAAAACAATAGTGTGTTACGTTTATTAAAAATACCGTTCCATCTCTAAATGGTAACAAAAGTTGTCTGACAAAAGCAGTGAAGTTCTCACTTTACATTGACATAAAATACACAACCAAAGACATACATAATTTAAGGATCATAATTTTAGGAGAAACTACAAATAAGGACATGTGTGGCAAATTTGTCTGTGACCCCTTAAACATACAATAAGCAGGTGAACTGAGTTTTTACATGTGGCACTTTCAAAATTCCAAACTCACATAGCTTTCTTTCCCCCCCAATTACAGACTGAATTTAATTCAGTGCTAAACAGATGTTAGAGCCATTTCAGACTTTGACATTTCTCTGAACAGAGTAACCGATCTGCATTAGCCCACTAAAAGGAGCATGCAGACAAGCAAAGTCACTGCTGTTTGCATCGTGCTGACTGGAGTCAACTGGAATTCTCTTTCATTCCAGTGTGTTCAGTTTTAGCTGTGAATGTCCCACCGTGAAGTTTATGAGGAAGCAGACTGAAGTTGACCCTTGTGCACGTACTCCAGAGCTGTGGCTATGGTCCTCATGTCCATCTCAATACTGCGGGCCCAGTTTTCCACATCCCCAATTTCCTGTTGAACAGACAGTATAGAGACAGAATTAGTGTCACCACCAGCAACAGGCTGTGAGGATGATATAAGCTGGATAATTGCACTTGGAGTGGAAACCCATTCATGAATTGCTTTCACCACCTGTCACATCCACTAAGATCTAGGACCTGTATCAACCTAATCTGCTTTTAGTAAACCCCATAAAGCAATTGGAAGATATTTTGACCAGTCACTGCGCTCACCATTTGCAGCAAAAATGTTTTTAAATGGTATTATTTTTATTTGAACAAGGCGCACAGTGGGATACGACAGCAGATATTAAATCTACATTAAACAATACTTGTGATATTACTGAGTCATAGTGCTCGGTATAATGTAGTGCTGAACCCACTCTTATTACATTCTGCTTAATTAAATGTGGTACTGATTGCTACTGCATTAGGTACGATATTCAGGACCTCATATCCTGTTACAGACCTTGTCTTTGCGTATTACAATAAAAAAAATAAGGGCCTTGTTTTTGGATTAATGTCTTGCCAATACAGTATGTCTTACCTTTAGGGCCTGATTGAAACCCTCCACCATACTGATCCACTGAGCAGTCTGCTTGGAGAACTGGCTCGCCTGCACTTGGAGAGTCTTCACCTCGTGATCGAGCTTACGTTGGTTCACATATGCCTGGGCAACTCTAAAGTGAAACAGAAAACAACAATGAGAAATGCTACAGTATCACTAATACATGAAAATACAGTATTGTGGAGCAATATGTCAATTATGGCATGTAAGAGGGAATTTGTATTTGATAGTCCAAAGTCCAAGCCATTAATTTGTACATTTACGCTGAAAACACACCATAATATTTAAACTTTACTAAGTCTTACCATGTCAGTAAAGGATTTAGTCATAATCATTTACATACAGGAACAGAACAACAATGGTCTTTGCATCTCACTCTTGTTCTTTAAGCTGATTGTCTTGCTTTCATCACAACTTTTACAATGTTAACGGTCTTAATGTACTATTTCTGGTTGTGTCACACATGGGGCCAATTCTGCCCTGCTGAGAATGGGCTGTTTTATTTTGATTAGCTCAGAAAGAGCTGTTGGTGGGTTGGTGGGAATCTGCTAAGGAACCATGGAACCTAAACAGTCTATACAGGCAATGTATGTCAAGCACAACATATACTGCAACGCTAAAATGATTTGTCGATTTCAATTTTTCAATTTAATTCAATTCAGTTCAATTTTATTTATAAAGCCCAATATCACAAATCACAATTTGCCTCAGGGGGCTTAGCAACATATGACATCCCTCTGTCCTTGGACCCTCACAGCAGATAAAGACCCCCCCCGCCCAAAAAAAAAACCCCTTTAACGGGGAAAAAAAATGGTAGAAACCTCAGGTAGAGCAACTGAGGAGGGATCCCTCTTCCAGGACAGACAGACGTGCAATAGATGTTGTGTTTACAGAACACATCAACATAATAAATTTACATAGATGGAGAGACAGGGAGCGAAAGTGAGACAGAGAAGATACAGGGCAAATAATATTCTAGTAATAATAATAATAATAGTATTTTGGTAGCATATATGTTACAAGTTAGAGATCGACTGAAAAGTAATTTGCAAATCAATTCATCATTTAAATGACCTTCAAAGCAAAAATGCAAAACATTTGTTGTTCCATCTTCTCATCTCTCACACCATTTCTGTGTTTTATTATTTTAAATTAAACATCTGCAGGTTTGGGGCTGTTGCTTGGAGATAGAAAGCCATTTGAAAATGTCACAATGGGTTGTCAATTTTTTTTCTTTCATTATTTTTATTTTTTTCTAATATATTTTTGACAAAACTTCAACCTAAAAAGTAACATATTGATCAATTATGAAAATAAACATTAGTACAGCCCTAATAACAGTAGAGCTGTCGTGATTAGTAGACTAATTGCTAAGTCAAGTGACAGAAAATGAATGGCCATAATAATAAATTAATTGGTTAATTCATTTTTCAAGCAAATATACCAAACATTCACTTCTTTCAACTTCTCAAAATGTGATTTTTTTTTTTTGTTTTATATTATTGTAAATTGAATGTATGTGGGTTTTGGAATGTTCACTGGACCAAAAAAAAAAAAAAGATATAGAACAGACCTACTTGAGTGTTGTTTTTTTTACCTTTCACAGGCCATATTTTCCTTATCCGCTGCGAGGGTCATAAGGACAGAGGGATGTCGTATGCTGTAAAGCCCTGTGAGGCAAATTGTGATTTGTGATATTGGGCTTTATAAATAAAATTGATTGATTGATTGATTGATTGATATGAGTAATTGAGAAAACTACTTGGTGGATTAACTAATGATTAAAATAATCATCGGTTGCAGCCCTAAACAACATAAATAAAGCCACCTAGCTGGTGCAGGTATTTCACAGCTACAGTTCAAGCTAGATAAAGGTACAGGCTTCTGTAAGGTGTGTTTGAGGGTCAGGTGGCAAAAGTTTCATATACTAATTTCACAAAATTATATGTAGTGTTTACCTTTTACTGGCAGGTTACTCCCTACATTGTGAGGGTGTCAAGATGTCAGCATATCCCACGTCCAAATCCTAAAACTACCACCACTATCATTACCAGGCAACTATGAAATGCAACAACAGTGTGTCTGCCACACCTCAGCAGACAAACGAAAACAACAGCAGGGGGCTAAGAGATGAAATTGCCATACCCAACATTGAGGTGATCTACCAGGGCTTCTGTCAAGCAGGTGGCTGCAGCAATAGCTTCACGCCTCCGTCTCTCTGTGCAAGAAAAACATTAACACAGCAGAGCAAACCATCAGCACTATATTGGACCCACACAGAGAGGTAAATCAGCAGTACTACAGTGGACCTACGGGGCCTTTTAACACACTCAATCAGCTTTGTTTTTAGCATCTGTTAGCATGCTAGCTAACCAGCTACCCATTCACTCACCCTGCTGCTCCTTCCGCTCATTTTGCTTCGCCTGGTGCTCCTTCAGCAGACGAGACAACATCTTCAGGGCTCGTTGAGATTAATTCGCAAATATTTTCGTGTCTTTAAACTAGCTAAATAACATGGCTTTTATAAACAGAGACGGTTGAGGTGCTATCAGCTGACTAGAACAACGTTAGCCGCTGTCACGAGACGCTAGAGGACGACAGCAGTGGTGGGCGTGCCCAAAAATGGCGTCTCGCCTGCCGCCATTGATCATTATTAATGTAATGTTAATATGTTTGTGTTGTTAATTAACACAACACACAGAGTTGGAATCAGAGCAGACGGTGTCAGTGAATGATTATTCACAATTTTGAGGCATATAATTTTTTTTTAATTAAATTGTGAGAATGTTTAGTGGTGACGTCAATATTATCTTAACGTCATACCGTTTTAACCTTCAAAATAAAAGTCGGACTAATTAGAAATAGTACTATGGCTACCACTACTACTTTTGCTAGTTTTAATGGTGATTTTTTTTTTAAATTGTAAATCATTAAGTACTTATTTTTACCTTTTATATCTTTTTTCCTCTTTACTCTTTTCTGTATCCTTAATTATGTTTTATATTCTATTGCTTTGCCAAGCATTTTGAATTTCCTTTGTATATGAAATGTGCTATACAAATAAAAGCTGCCTTGCCTTGCCTTGCCTAACTACTACTACTACTGCTTCTAATAATAATAATAATAATAATAATAATGACAACGACAACAACAACAACAACAAAACAACAACAATAATAATAATAATAATGAAGTGAAATAAGTGCAACAAGACAAGGATGTTCTGCAAAATAACAAATCACAAACATATCCGATAGGCAAGTGAAAAGACTGAAAGCACCCACAAAAGCTGGGACAAACTTAAAGATTAAGTGTGCTGAACTGCATTATAGACCATATAATAAAATAATGCAGCCACAAAACTGCCTTACTCTCTTATAAATCATTACTATAAGAAATAAAAAAGAAAACACAATCCTTAATTTGACAGAACAATCACAACCTGAGGTCCAATAGCCTTTCCAGAGCTTTTAACCATATCACAGTTCTAAAAGTGCCACAGATACATAATAGTCATGAGACAGTTATTTACACATTATTGTCAAACATCTATTCCAGACCCCAGCAAGCAAGCAGCCACATACAGTGGAAGAACCACAGTACCTCCTCAGGAGAGGAGCCCTATGCCCCCCAATATGTAAACAGATATGCAAATATTGACAGATATGTAAATAGATGTAGATAGTTTACTGTGAATTAATGCGAAATTGGTTGCTGTAAATGTGTGTGTATGAAGACTTGTATATAGTTTGATGTCTGTTATTTCTTATACAAACTGCTTGTCCACTATAACACTTGTTTTTACTATTTTTTTATGCACAAAGTTACAAAAATGCATATTGATGTGTTCATGCTTCTGTAATTCTGTGTCAGTAATTCTGATAGTGATTGTGTATACCTGAGAGGATATTGTCAGCCCAAAATCATAACTGTACATTGAAGCGTTCAAGAGTAACAGCCTGTTTACCATAGGTATGTCATCACAGTTACCAAGGGTCCTTTGGAGTCTCCATAATATCCTTTTTGGAAATGCCTAGACATACCCTTAGAAAAACATGTGTAAAAAAAGTCATTTTCTGTAGTACTGTTGTGAAATTTGTGCTTGGACTATATAAGCTATCATACTTTGGTTCCATAGTGTTTACCAGCTAATACCTCCCAGTTACAGTCTTCTGCAGCATCTTTCTTCAAGAAAAAAAAATCCTGCGAGTGTGTTGAAACCTGGTTGAAACTTGTATAATTTAATGACAGAAGCATTCTGACTGTTGGGGAAAACTTTAGTGTCACCTTTTAAATGAGACCATGCATGTACAGGTACTAAATAAAGAACAAAAACAGCGTTCAATTTACTTTGGGTAGAGTTAAAGTCAGACTGAGCCATCTCCATACCCACAAAACAAACTCCATCCACTAATAATGAACCTGTGGTGTTGTTGAAAGCTCATGAAAAAGCTGGTTAGTGCACTTTAAGTTTGGAGAGTTTTGTCAAACTACTGTTTTCAAGACCAAGAATACTTTCATGGTTAAATATAACAGAGTGTATGACTGTATTTTGATTAATTTAATAGTTACAGAGTAATTTTTCTACAAAAAAGAGATTTGTATGCTGTTGAGAAGCCATTTTATTTTGAAAAATTCGTTCCGGAAAAGCCGGTCTTGTTCTGGCTAGCGGAACACAGGGCTGTACTGATGGCAGGCAGCTACCTGTCAACAACCTAACCATAGCTGAAACTGAAGTCTGTGTTGCCATTTATCGTCTGCTTCTGTCAGGTAGGGTCATCTAGTCTCTCACCGAGTGAAAGGTGTCAGATTCACTTGAGTGAACGGTCGAAGCTGCTCAAGGAGCCGGGCGGTGTTAGCAATAGTAACGTTAGCTAAAGCCTCGGTGTTCAGGACGTCGGCGAACAAAGTTGCACCAGGTGGTGGAACTTCTCAACGTCTCTCGGTTCATTCCCCCAAAATATCTACATTATAGACAGTAATACATCTTAACAATGTCACAGTCGAAACAGTTACCCCAGGGACGGCTAGTGTTTGATGTTGTCTTGACAGCAAATCCTGGCTAACCCCCTACTAACCTGACAGATAAAGCTATTAAGCTACAGTCGTGCTGCATTCACGGTACAGATAGCAGCGAACACGTTCGCCCTGTTGACAACTTTATGTCACTGTTTGATACACTTAACATCTTTTCGTTAAATTACATTAACCTACCCTCTTGTCTAGTGTTTTAATTAACCTTCTTGCCCTGTCAAAGATTAGTAAGAAAGGTTTAGTGAGCCAATTTGAGGAGGGGATTTTCCGTTATGAAAGGTTCACGGTGGTTTCTTGGAATAGATAAGATTAAACCAAGTCACTTGGTTACGTGCAGTTTGTATGTCTGACATCATTTAAATTTCATATGGAGTGTGTAGATATGTAAAATACTGCTGTATAAGACAAGTTAGCCTCAGTTAAATAGTAATTAAATGGGTCTGCCTGTCAGTGGGATTATATACAATCCAAATTATGTTAAAGTGTGTGCACAGTTTAGTTTAAATTGACCTGAAGTATTTAGCTTAACTTTTATTATGGAGATCAAAATTGTAGGTCATGTCTACAAACATTTAATGTCTCCACATAGCTGATACTATCAAACATACCTCTTTGTTTTTATTAGGCAGCCCCATCAATACTTGCTAAAGCCAGGCTTTACTTTCCACTGACTGCCGCAACCCAATAGCCTAATCACTCTGTAAGTAGGTTACCTGCATAGAGTGTCCCATGTTTACATTTGATGTCGTTGGTTGCAGCTGTTGCAGGTCCTTTCGGTGTAGCCAAACAAGGCTGCAGTGTTATGGATGAACCATGAAGGCCCAATTACAAGTCACAGGTAAGTTAGTATTGCAAGATTTGTAAGCTTGTCTATTAACCTAAATGAGACAGAAATTTGATAAAGTGATGAAGTTGTAGTGCTCAGTATTGTTTGACTTTGTGTCTAGGAAGCTACAGGATGTTGGTTGCTAACTAGGCCTAAGTTCCTGTAGTAATAATAAGGCCTAAATAGCTGTCACTGACTGTTGTTGTGTTTGTTCAGCACAGGGAGACTACAGGAAGTGGTGGTTTATGTTTATAGGTTAATGGTTTTAGCATGTTGTTGCGTCTTTACCAAATGCAACTTCTTATAAATGCTGATCAGATCTACTGAAAGTTGCATCACCTGCAATTTCACTGTGGTATTCTCCCCTATCCAGTGCTTTCAGCCAAGCTGAAGGAAAACAAAAAGAACTGGTTTGGTCCCAGTCCGTATGTTGAGGTAGCCGTGGATGGCCAGTCAAAGAGGACTGAGAAGTGCAACAACACACATAGTCCCAAATGGAAGCAGGCTGTCACAGTGTGAGTATGACTGTTGTGTTTGTCATAGGAAAGAGAAACCAGTTCAGCGAACATCTCCCTGCTCATCTGGCATAAACCAAGATTTTGTTACTGCAATGCCTATTTCTCACCTAAACTGTTTAGAGAAACATATTTTAGTGCACGGTTTAGTTGTAATATGAGAGTTTGAGAACAGGATGTGAGTGCTGACTGAAAAAACTCTGATCAAATGGTAAAACTAAGCAGTGCTGATCAAATATGAACCAAGATTATGTTACTGCATTGCCTTTTTCTTGCTTCAGTGTTATCAGAAATATATTTTAGTTCACCATTTGATATGAGATAGTTTGTCACCAGCTAGCCGCCAAATTGTTTCCAGTGTCAAAACGGACAAGCTGGCATCACATCACCTGCCAGCTGGAGTGTTTATTTAGGCCGATGCAGTGCAGTGCATTCTGGTAGTTGTGGGTTTTCTACCTCTTGAAAAAAGCAAACAAATGCCACAGCTCTTTGCCTGTTTTTTTCTCTGGTGATGTAGCACCTATTACAAAAGTATGTTTTCAAAGCTATTATATAGTCAGCAATAAATCCTTTCAGCATTAGTGCAGATCATTCATAATCTTTTTCTCTGGTGTTGACTTGTATCTTGTCATTTTCTCACTTCTCTACAGAATTGTAACTCCGGTCAGCAAGCTGATCTTTCGTGTTTGGAGCCACCAGACGCTGAAAGCAGACATCCTGTTGGGGATGGCCATACTGGAGATCAGTGAGACCCTAAAGGCCAACGACCTGAAACGTGCGTTCATGCCACTTTCTTTCTCCTAAATTTTAATATTAAATTTTATATGAAATATCTAACAAAAAGATTACAACCCAAACTCTCCACTCACTTTTCCCTTTACTGGCATAAGACAGCTGTGATCTTTTTATAGCACAAGGCTGTTTTGTAGAGTTTACTCGTACTGTCACTTGTCATTTCAACTTTGAGCCTGGAAAATATGTCTTGTCCAAGGAGCAGAGTATGAAGCTAATATTTCCAGGCTCTCTGGGTTGATTCCCACAGAATATGATGAGGTATTCAAGATAAAAACTCCCACCACATGGCGTGTTTATTTCAAGATAATAAAACATTGTATCCTTTGTAATCCAAACTTTCAGTATTCACTTTGCGTGTCTGAGTCTGTCAGCAGCATATTTTATTTGGCAGATGTCGCACACACTGTAGACACTGTACACTTGTGTAAGAGCGCATATCTCCCTGTGTTTGTACTAGAATGTTTTATTGGGCTTTGATAACCCTAGCAACCCACATGCACAGTACTCACTAGCTTCTCTTTCCCCTGGGATACAGGACTCACCTAAGCCTATGACCTTCTGCTTGCTTTGAATGTGTTACAGCCAAATTCAGTGGTTTATCTTGGCATGTGCAATGTGACATAAATACTGGTCCATATTCTATTTGGCTGCTTGCTTTTCATTCGCCAATAAAAAAACAAGATTCTAAAGATCCTGCCAGTAGCCCCTTGAGGTCATGCAACTTGTTACACCTCATATGACTTAAGTTAATTAAGCTGACAAAGTGACTGACACTGACATCTTTAGAGCACCCAACTCTCACCAGCAGGACATAAAACAATAACCAAACACCTTGAGAGTGAGATGATCATGAATGGCCAGTAAGGGAGGCCCTGCAAAGGAAAATGTCTCTAAAATGTAATCTCGGATTTAGTACGTACATTCATTGGCAATATCTTCTACCTCAGTGCAGCCTTAGCATCGTCTGGTTTCATTTTGTTGTGAAGGTCAGTGTGGGCATTTATCCGATGAGTGTACTTGAGATGTGATGTCAGTCTTGCAAATTATAAGCGCCTGTTAAACACTGAATTCTGTACCCTCCCCAGTGTGTGAGGTGGTGCAGACACTGCAGCTGTGCTCAGACAGAGACCCCCGGGATATTGTAGGTGACCTGTCAGTCTGTCTGGACGGCATGCAGGTAGACCCAGAAACCTTCGCCTCAGCAGAGAAAGAACACGGTAAGGAATCTCACCCAGACAGAAGCACACTTTACAAGGTCAATCACAGGAACAATTTGAGGACATGAACCATGTACAGATACACAGAATTCTTTAAATTCCTTCTTCCTTTCTCTTCATAGTTTGTCATATCGTCATCAGTGTTCTTGAAAAAAGGCTGCGGATGTCGATTAATTTTGGCTGCTGACCAGAATCTTTTAGTAGAGCCTAAGTGATACATCAACCAACTTAGCTCATTGTGAATATCTAGCGTTAGGGCTGGGTTTAAATAATCGATTTAAATGATTCAAATCAATCTTCATTGATTTCTGGTGTAATTTAAATCACGCCGCAGCCTCGCCCTTGCGCTCTGTGTGTGTCAGGTCTGCAGCTGCTACCACACACACAAATGCACGTACAAGCACAGAATGAACAGCAGAGCAGACAGACCTCAGTCAAGAAAGTAAAGTGACAATAGCTTGAAGGTTACTCAAGTTAACATTTACAACTAATTTAATTAAAAATTAAATTGCATCTAATTAGGAGATTAGAGGCAATAGCCAGCCTTACTCAGCATATATGTCAGCTGTTGAGTAACAAAAAAATTGTAGTGCAGAAATACCAAATATCTATGATTTAATTGGTTTTCGCATACTTAACTTTACTTGTCATCGTGCACTACGTCACTCTCCATACATATCTTGGTCACAATTCCCAAATAATCCAACAGTTGCAGTAACATCTCAAGTTATTAAATAATGATGTCACTTGTCTTCTTGTTTCTTTGTCATTCTAGCTGTTGTTCCAAATGGAAATGCAAGACAAAATGGAGACAGTGGCAAGAGGTTCAGTAAACTTTTATTAATGGGCCTTTGCATGGTTTTTGTGCAGATCTTGGGTTATGGATTTGGTAAATCAAAAGCATACATCTTGTAGAGTGTGTGTGTTTATGTATAGAAATTGCGCATCATATATCTGTAGAATAACATAAGAAAATATGTTGATCCCCAGGTCAAGCAGAGACACGTCTCCCTCCAGTGACTCAGAGGAGTGGGTTATTGTACCTAATGGTCATGCTGTCAATGGCACGGGTTCTCCTTCCCGATCTCCAGGGGGCTCCAATGCCTCACGTCCTCCCAGACCAGACCGGCCTCCTCCGCCTACGCCTCGCAGACCAGCTGCCTCACCAAGTACGAAAAGCACACAATATCTGAGACTTTACAAAATAGCTACATTTCTTTAGCTGTTACAATTTGACATACCAGCCATTTTACATTCTCACATACCACTGGTTTTGTTTTATGTACAGAAATAGAGTGCTCTGTGTTAAACGGCTGCACTCAAAGCAAATAACACCTCTGCAAATTAATTCACAGACTTAAAGGTTTTCTTCGCTGCCTTCCTCCCACTCCTCTCCACAGCCTCTTCTAGCAGTTCCTCCCCTAGTGAGCTGAGCGAAGGTCCAGCTTCCGATGGCTCCTCTCAGGCGTCAGCTAGTGGGTGTTCGAATCAGCAGGATGACTCAGGCGCTGGAGCAGCGACAGCAGTTTCTTCACAGACAGCAAGTGGCCCCAAACCAGGGACCTCTGCCTCAGCAGCTCTGGCCACAACAACTCCCAGAATCACACCCATTAGCAATGCTCCTTTGCCACCAGGGTAAAAGAACAATGCGCTACACATGTTTCTGCAAGTCTTCACTGTAACCACTGTTAATAGGCATATTAGAAAGTCCCTTCAGGATCTTGTAGGCTTTTTTGGGATAGTCGCGGCCTAAAATGCCTGATTTCATGTCAGCTTTTATAAGAAATTGCGATGCATGTTGTTTTATGTGATTTTTTTTTTTCTTTTTTTTTTCCACAATTAATTTTGAGTTTGTGATTTAAACTAAACTGAAGTTTCCACAAACCCTGCATATTTGATCAAACTCATCTTGAATATTTCAGCACATGTAATAGATCTGGATGCAACAGCCCCTGTCATGGTGATTTGTTTTGTCTGTTGTGAAGCGTTTCAGCCATTTCCTGGGTGTGTTTTGCGCTATAAAAGTGTTTGTCAATTAATGACTTTTGTTTGTGTTCCATCACAACGTTGTGCGCATTGTCAAACAGTTCCTCCTGCTTTGATGCAGAACATCAATGCTGTAATTTTGCTGTGTTCTGTTTCCTCGCTGCTATGATTGGAAGTGATCGGGAAACTACAGTGAATAGTCAAATTTGTGGAAAAGTTGCGGTGATTGGACAAAATTGCAAGGTTGCAACAAATTCACAGGCATCGGATCAGTTTGCGTTAATTGCTGCGATCGCAGCATCCTGAACGGGCTGATTAGGCTGCAGCCTTATAAATATTTATGTGTGTTGTTATTGTAATATGCAGGGATGTTCCAGGTATTTTAATGAATGGTAGTTTTCCAGTGACTCAGTCCAGTTGCTTGGCAGTTGACGTACATCTGAACCCGGTTTCCTATGCTTTGTCTTTGCTCACTCATTTGTATTGTCTCTGCAGGTGGGAGCAAAGGGTGGACCAGAACGGACGGATGTACTATGTGGATCACATTGAGAAAAGGACAACCTGGGAAAGGCCTGATCCTCTGCCTACAGGGTACCAAAGCACTTGTTTCATCATTTACTATCAACACTAACATGGTTCTTGCTTGGCCCTTATAACAGAATAAAAGTAATCTCAGATCAGTACAGACATATTTCACAGCCACTTTTACGATTACTGTAGAGCTGCACTCTTTTTGTTCATAATTGTCTTTACTAGATAAATACTAGAACAGATTAAATCCGCTTGTGTGTCTGATATTCATATGGATGTCAGGTGGAGCCCTGCAACACAGCTACCATTTTGCCTACATTGTCAACTCAGCACTGCCGTCTTTTTACTTTGTGTTCTGTAGGTGGGAGCGCAGGGTGGACCCGATGGGTAGGGTGTACTATGTTGACCACATAACGCGAACTACTACGTGGCAACGCCCCACGCAGGAGTCGGTGCGCAACTATGAAGAGTGGCAGCACCAGCGCAGCCAGCTGCAGGGAGCCATGCAGCAGTTTAACCAGAGGTTCATCTACGGGGTGAGAGCAGTGACTGTATAGTTACTGGGTTTAATACATCCACTGCACATGAAGCGCAGTCTTAACATTTATTTGTTCCAATTTACATAAAGATCCCATCCAAACATGATTTATGACCTATAGAAACACTTTGCATAGTAATTTGTGTTTAATATGATTTGATCACGAAAGAGTTCACTTACCTGGTTATAAAGTCTAATTGCATCTACTCCTTATCCCATAAAAAGATCCAGTGTTGATGAATATGCAAATACTGTTAATTTCATGTTCACAAAATCATGTTTGTGAGTGTTAAACTGAGATTTATGGTGAGCACAGAGAAACTTTACACTTTCACAGATGAAAGTGAAAACTGCTTTTGGGTATCATTATGCACAGTGAAACTCAAACATCCAAGTGAAGTAACATTAAGCAGAACACGTGATTTCGGACAAAGAGAATATCTGGTTCGCAACATTTTTGGCTTGCTTCCCAAACTGAAGTAACATGCAGACCTTGCAGGGACAGAGCTTAAACCCTAGACGGTGATTTTCGGCTGTGCATTATTTTCTGAAAGTAAATCAAATCACAACAAAAATGATATTAAACCATAACCACCATGGGGGTTTATCAGCATGGGATACACTACTGTAAACTGTCCCAGTCTTTGCCATTACTTTCTGAATTTACATGTGTGACATCTCTACTGCTGTTTTTGAAGTTTGATTTGGCTCTCGGGTCCGAAATGGACTCAAATGGGGATGACAATGGCTGACTGAGTACGATCCAAATAATGGATAGCTATGGCTAGTATGTTTTAAAGTCCGGGTTAAGCAAAAATAAAATGTGAAATGAGCATACACAGAGAATATATAATATCAATTTTCAAAATTGTGAAAAAATGAATAGTATTTTCTGCTCTAAGATGCTGGAGGCGTGTCCGCTGAAGGAGCTAAAATAAAGATTAATTCACTGTGAACGATGGACACCTGTAGGAACTAACCTAACTTACAGTAACACAGTAACATTCACGACCCCCGAGCCAAAGAACGAGCTGCTGCGCATGGACAGACTCTCGTTAACCGCTAAGGCAGTCGCTCACACAGTCTACAGCAGCACACACACATCCTCATATGGTTGAGGAACTTCAAAATGTTAGCACCCAGTGGGAACAGAGATAAGAATGCTATCGGGTCATGATACATTTGAACTATACTACAGGTCTGTTTACTTTAACACAAAGTGTTGACAAAAGCAGGATTTACTTTCATTAGACTTTATCTAAATGTGTCTCATTCTGTTTCTACCTCAGCTCCAAGACCAGTTGGCTGCCACGGCCAACAAAGAGTTTGACCCGCAGGGACCTCTGCCGCATGGTTGGGGTAAGTATCATTGTAGCTGTAGTCACAGTACAGTTAAGATATTTTCAGGGCTGTGATGTTAGTCGAAATTCATGGCAGCAAACTGATTCTGAATAGTATCTAAAAATGTGTTCATTTTGTTTGTTTATGTCAGAGAAGAGAACTGACACAAATGGCAGAGTGTATTTTGTTCATCACCCGACACGGACAACACAGTGGGAAGACCCCAGGACGCAAGGGTGAGTGTATGCCTGTGCATTTGTGTGTGTTATGTACTGTCATACTTTCTATTTCACTGAATTTGATGATTCAGCCTAACTCAGTTGCAGTTATGTTATATTGTCAGTAAGAGGCGCTAATGTGTCAGCAAGTCGTTCAGCTCCAGTGTCTCTGCAACACTTGAGAGTCAATAATCAGTCAGAAGAGTGAAGAATGGAGAATGTAGTGACATATATTTGCTCATTTTTTAAGTTTAAGAATAAATGGAATAAACAACCTTTTTAAATTGGGTAATTACTTCTATCTGCGCAAAGATTTAACAGTACTACCAAACTAATATAGCCTAACCTTTAAGTGAATAATGACAGAACAAACACAAACAAACAGTCTTGGAGCTATGGAAGTATTGAAAGTAAAAAGTTTAAATTAGATGAAGACATGATTGTTTTTGTAGGAGATAATTGCTCTAAGCTGTGCTTGCACTGAATCATTAATAAACTGCTACTAATGAGGAAGTTATGTGCTGACAAAGGAAAGGGCATCTGGCTAAACACTCTTCAAGTGTCACTATGTAATGACTGTGAAGCAGTGTGGAGGAAGCCCTGCTTTTTATATATTGGGGGCATGTTTTTTAACCTTTAAATTCCCGCTGTTAGGCCGATCAAATTTCTGAGTTAAGATATTAATGAGTATGGCATGAACCAAAGAGAAAATCAAAGTTCAGACGCACGTCGGGATACTCAAGTTGACATTTATGTAATTGACAGCTTAAATTAAAACCCAAAAAGGAGCAAACTACGCATTTGTTATGTTGCCCCATCAGATTTGTTCTGTGCTTTATTGCCATCAGGTGTGCCTTTTAAATAATTACATGATGATTAGCAAATAAATCAAACAAAACATCAACAGTAAAGGCAATAGCAACTATAATTCTACTGTACATGTACATACAGACATACAAGTACAAGTTACAAAAATGACATACTTCTGTGTTTTGTTTTCAAAAGAATGAATAGAGACCTTCACTGAGCAAAATAAAATATATTTGATGATAATATCAGTCTGAAGAGATATATCTGAATATAACATGTGACGCTGTGTATATCAAGAAAACCTGACTGTGAGGAAATTCTGCTTCAGGACAGTCATTTATTCTGGGGAATGCACAAATATAGCATACATTTTAATGTCTCCTGTTTTGATGTGGACATTAATTATTAATGTTCCTGTGTGTATATCTTGGTTATTGGTGCACATTTTCTTTTGGAATTTGATTCCCTAATTTATCTTGCAGTGCAACTTCTGTGTGTGTTTATCTTTTTAACAGTTGTTGTATTTGATGTAAATCCGTTTTGTATTTATATTATATATTTATATACATATCCAGGCTGCTGAATGACAAGCCCCTGCCAGAGGGCTGGGAGATGAGGTTCACTGTGGATGGTATTCCCTACTTTGTCGACCACAACAGGCGAACAACAACCTACATTGACCCTCGCACAGGAAAATCTTCACTGTAAGTTCACGTTTTAATGTTGAAATGCGCCATTTACAGGAGCAGCACTCTCTTCAGGTCACCTGCCTTCTTACAAAACTGCTGTAGCCTGAAGATTCTGGGGCCAGCTGCACAAAGCACCTTTAGTTTGCTCCTTTAGTAATGCTCTTAAGGCTTACATGAATTACCTCACCAGTAACTGACTGGAAACATCCCGCTGCATAAAACCACAGAGCAATCATTAATTGTAAAGGGGCTGGAAGAGCACAGCTTTGGAAAGTTGATTGATCCAATCCTAGACAGCCATAATCATAAATTGACTTCTGGTCAAATTAATAGCACAAAATCAGTTGCTCATCATTGGGTTCTCCCAGTTGTGGAACATGCTTCTCAGGATGCCTTCTCATTTATCTCCATAAACTGAGCCATGTCGCTGTTAAGATGGAGTCAGGGGTACTTTATGTTTTTGTCCTTACTTTGCTACTAAGATTCTTTGTGGGTTTTCCAAACTTTAAGCATTTCCTTTAGTATAAGACCAATATAAGGAGAAAAACTTAAATCCTTAAGTTAACATTTTAAGAAGGAGAAGACAGGAGAATGTTTTGTGCAACGGATTTTATTTCAAGGACAGCTTAACTCGGACTTAAAGGAAAATATTTAGGTGCTTTGTACAATTGAGACAGATAGCAGTTACACTCCCAACACATGCATACATGAACTAAATCTGCTTGTTGAATGGACATTAAAACTGGTTCTTGTTGTTTCCACAGTGAGAACGGGCCGCAGATAACCTATGTCAGGGACTTCAAAGCCAAAGTGCAATACTTCAGGTTCTGGTGTCAGGTATGTGCTGCACAACAGGCGATGAACTGCTTTGTTATCTCCCATGATTGTTGTATCTGTGCAAAGATGGAAGTTAATATTCACGGGTGTTCAAAGCATTCAGAATTTCTAAAATGTATAGTTAATGTTTTTTATCCCCCCCCCAGCAATTGTCGATGCCTCAGCACATTAAGATTACCGTCTCCCGGAAAACCTTGTTTGAGGATTCATTTCAACAGGTGATCATTTCAGTATCGTCTTTTTTCCCCAGTTCTCTGTTTAACAGCATTGTCTTGTCATTGTTCGGGGTGTGTAACTGTTGTAAGTCTTTGTTTGCATTCAAAGATCATGAGCTTCCACCCTCAAGATCTGAGGCGGAGACTGTGGATTATTTTCCCTGGAGAGGAGGGTTTGGACTACGGCGGTGTGGCCAGGTAAAGTCAACTGACTTTTTTTTTTTTTGTTGTGTCTTATTGTTTAACTCCTAAGGCGTGTTTTGTTCTCATTCATATCTTTTTTGACACCACCCATGCCTCACTAAACCTACTGCAATTATAACAGTACATCATCTTCTGATTTCTTATTAAAAACCTGATCTACAGGGGGTTGCAAAACCACCTCAACCAGTAAGACCACTTCCACTTAATTGATTTGTTTTTGTTTGTTTGTTTTATTTGTCCTGTGTGCTTTTATTTACAGGGAATGGTTCTTCTTGCTCTCTCATGAAGTACTGAACCCCATGTACTGTTTGTTTGAGTACGCTGGCAAGGACAACTACTGTTTGCAGATCAACCCTGCCTCCTACATCAACCCTGATCACCTCAAGTACTTCAAGTTCATAGGACGCTTCATCGCCATGGTACATGCACTATTTATCAACACGATTACTTAGCGTGCCGTAGACCAAACCGGCACATATGGGTACTTAACAAAACATCATGGCTACACGTCCTTTTCCGGAATAGAAAAGAAAGATCATGTGGATGTCAGTGCAGTTTGGAGTGCGTTTGGATTATAATTTTGTCAAGTTTGTCTGCTTTTATTTCTTGTTAACAAATACGTCTAATAATCATTTTGCGACCTTGCCTGAGCTTACACAAATCTATGGTGATCGCCGTCATTTCCTTACAGTCTCCCAACCCATCCATTTGTCCATCCTATTCTTATGAATGGGATTTCTCAAGAACCCTGTGAGGGAATTTCTTCAAATTTGACACAGTCATCCGGTTGGGGTGCTTTCACACCTGCCCTGTTTGATTTGGTTCATTCGAACTCAAGTTCATTTGCCCCCAGAGTGTGGTTCGTTTGGGCAGGTGTGAACACAGAAATCACACTCATGTTCACACCAAAACAACCGGACCAAGACCTTCTTGAAGAGGTGGTCTTGGTCTGGTTACACACAAACTCTGGTATGGTACTTTTGTGGTAAGAACTTTGTTCTGACCTCGATCTGAACCAACTGCAGTCACATGACACATTGTTTGGGTTAAACATGAGCATGTCACAGTCCTGGAGGATTATTAATGTGCACCTCCTCCTGTACTGCCTTAATATGCACATTCAGCACATCCAATGCATCAAAACATTGTTTTCTAGTTGGAGCCGTGCCTCGTTTTCAAACTGTATGGTTTGACTAAAATGAACAATGACAGCAATATAGTCCACGATGAGCAGCGCTAAAATCAACCTGCGTAGTTGTCCCTCCATTGTGACATTAGAAAGTGTCACATTTACCTTGCAAGTGTACTCTTCTTCAATGTTTTGGTTACTTCCTGGATTGTTCTAGCATGATTCTTTCCCCCAAAAGGGGGCGGGGCCGTGGGGATGATGCAGTGCCGGTCTGCTCTATCAGTATTTGAACCGAATGCGATGGTATTAATTGTCTTTAAAATCTAATTCTCTAATTCTCTTTTGTTCTGTTGTTGTCAATACATTTGTTCACCTGACTATCCTGCATTGTTTCTTTCCAGGCCTTGTTCCACGGCAAATTCATCGACACAGGTTTCTCCCTGCCTTTCTACAAGCGTATTCTGAACAAACCTCTGGCTCTCAAAGACCTGGAGTCCATAGATCCAGAGTTTTACAACTCACTCATCTGGATCAAGTAGGTCTGGGGATACAAATAATAATGTGGGATTTGGTTGGTGGGTAGCTGATGGACAGGTATATAATACGGTGTCCATGGGGAGGGTTTGCATGAGTGGACGGGCAGGTTAGCATGTTTGTATCACTAAAAATAGCATGGTGGTCATTTACTGTGGTGTACCATAAACGTTTTTCATATTGAAGAAGATGTCATGGTTGAATAAAACTATATAAGCACCATATTCTTAACAAACAAGGTGAATTTGTTAACCAGTTACCACAGTTTCAACATCAATAACGTGAGGCCAGTTACACTTCGACCCCTTTTGTATTTTTTTTTTGCAGTCAGTGGAGCTTTGGCTGGGAAATGAGCTTATTTGCTGTCTTTGTGCCAGGAGTTAGATTAAAGATCGATACCTGGGTTATGTGCCAGTCTATTCCCCAGACCAGTTGCTAGGTAACCATCTGAGACTTAGCTGGTGGCGGCCAAGAAATAGTCTGGCACGTAGCCACATATTTGCAAGCACTGGTGGGTGGAATTTGTTTTTGTTAATGATAATGACTCTGGCCCACAGGGATAATAACATAGAGGAGTGCGGTCTGGAGATGTTCTTCTCCGTTGACAAGGAGATCCTGGGGGAGGTCACCACCCACGAGCTGAAACCAGATGGAGGGAACATCCAAGTCACTGAGGAAAATAAGGAGGAATACATCAGGTACAGCTGCATCCTCTGCTGCTTCTCATCCACCATCTGTCCTCAACTACCACATTAACACTCTGCTTTTATATCCAACACAACACTGATGGGCCGCATTCACACCAAATCAGGTGTGTGATTAGCTGCGGGGTTGTGCGACAGTGTGAGAGTCACTTAAATGGCACATTTGTTGGGGAGTGGAGGGTGGAGACCAATTATAGAAGCTAAAATATTCAGCGACTGATTATTTGTCTTTTGTAAGTTTGTTTATAGTGGCTAAAAAGATATTTAGAATTCCATTAGATTACCTTTACTGCCAAAAAAAGATGTGCATGCAAACACAAACAAAACGAGTCCTTGGGATAGTACATACAAGCTTTTACGACATACTTTATCTTTGATTTACTATAATATTTAACAATATAAACTCATTTTACTTTTTCCCGTGCACTGCGGCCGTCTTCCAGTCTTATCGACCATCTTAGCATGATGTTTAAATATGTTTCTCAAAAAGTTGATTCTGTTTCACCTTTTTGCTGCGGGGTCCCCTCCACTGCAGCCTGGACGCTCTACCCACATTGAGATGAATAGAAGGAGTGGCGGTTTTGCTGTAACACCTGATCTGGTGTGAATGCAGCCATGCCCAGGCAGATTTGCAATAGTGTAACACAGTCAAACTCTGACAATATTGTAGATAATAATCAGATAAGATAATCCTGTATTCGTCCTACAGTGGAAAATTTGCAACATGACAGCAGCAGAGGGAAAGTGCAAACAGGAGGCATCAGTAAAAAAACTAACAAAAAAAAACAAACAAACACTTATTGGTAAAAAGAAAAACACAGGTTGGTGTAATGAGTTAACGGCACAGAACAAGAGCAATATAATAAGCAAACAGAATGTGTGCCAAGTATTCCCATTTTCCTATAATGTGAAATTAAGTGTTAATAAGTAATGAAGAGGTAATGGTCTTGAATAAACTCACTATTGTATAGACACAGCAATAAATGTATGGCATTTAAAAAAGAGTTGCTGTGTGTTACTACTTAAAATCAGAAAATGGTATTACACTTTTATTTGATGATTTAAAACTTCATGAAGTAAAGTTCCTTATTTTTAGCATCCATGAATTTTCATTCCTTCAGTATGTTAGTTTTTATTTTTTCTTAATGTTTATCTTCATATTTCTGTTTTGCAGGTTGGTGGCAGAGTGGAGGCTGTCCAGAGGTGTCGAGGAACAGACTCAAGCATTCTTCGAGGGCTTCAATGAAGTTTTGCCCCAACAATACCTTCAATACTTTGATGCTAAGGAGTTAGAGGTACTGATGCAACTAGACTTAGTCACTACAAGCTTTTCCAAAGAACCAGGAGAGTTTGATGTTTGCGTCAGTGTTGATTCTGCAGGAAAAAAATTGAGCATTAAATATCTTTTTATTTCCCTGTAGGTGATGCTGTGTGGGATGCAGGAGATAGACCTGGTGGACTGGCAGAGAAACACAATCTACAGGCATTATGCCCGAAGCAGCAAACAGATCCTCTGGTTCTGGCAGGTTGGTACATACAGTTCCACACTCAGAATGAAGTGTTCAGTCAAAGAATAAGATGAAAACACTATTTCTTTTTCACCCCTTCTCACTTTGCTCTACTTTTAATACAGTTTATTAATACCGTGCAATAGTAGTGCAGTTTGATGTCTCAGGATTTCAGTTTCATTGAGCTCTAAGGTGTTGTGACTGAATCAGATCGCTTTTTACTGTCACTTCAGAGACTGTGGGCCTTTTCTTACTCCAGGCACAAAGCAGTGCACAGCACGGTGCAACTGTCATTGCTAGTTTTAGACCAAGGTAGTTGTCCTCTTCACGGCCACTGCCCATGGGTGTATAGGTATTAAAATGAGGTGTGTTCAGGCACATTGTTGGTGTATTGCTGTTATAAGGCAGCAGAAAGTGATTGCAACATTGACTAACAAAATCCTGGTCTGAAGTTAGAAAGGCAAAGTATTTTCTTGCTATTTGAAGGGCGCCTTGTTCAGATATTAAATGGGCCTGCATAGGCAGGTTCATGACGCGCATACACTCTGCTTGTTACACACACAGGCTCGTACAGATGGGTTGTGGGTGAAATAATACATCATTAATGAGTAAAATATTAAATTACATTACATACTATTCTACAGAGCAGAGCTGCTGTCTGACTCCCCTTCAAGAGAGATGTTGTGTGCATTTAAGCATGACGAGCAGTGCAACTTCATTGATTATTCAGAAGCTAAAAGTTTAGTTCTGTTAAGATTAAGACTACAGTTTGTAGTTTTGCAGCTACTACCAGTTTCTCCTCCATTGTTTACCAACTGTAAACTTGTTGTCATGACCACCACAGAATGCCTGCCTCTCAAATCATCTGATTGGACAATGGGGGAAAAGCTACAATGACGTGGGGTGCTTTTCTGCTCTGAGTTGAAGTTTTTTTCAACTCGAGGAGTTCAGAGCGCTCGGGCAAAAAAACGGCAGGCGCCTAGAGCACAGAAGTGCAAGGCGTGTTGCAATGCAAAAACAGCGTTGAAAAGCTTCATTCTCATTTAAAACAATTACAAAAAGATGCCTCCCGCTGCTGGAACGCTTTCTGTGTGATTGGGGCCTAAATGTGCCGCTATATTTGCTGCAGTGACATAACTGCTCTTACTGCATTACTCTCAGCAGAAAACCGGTCACTTCTCCAATTTGCTGAATCCACCAAATGCAGGCACACTTTGCTTTTAAAGGGAATGGCAGATGACAAATTCATGTTACATCCAAAACACACTTGTGATTAATTTAGGGACTGAAAACAACCCCTTTGCCCCTCACGCCTTACTTTGTGCCCAGATTATGCTCTGTTTAACTAGCAAAAGTGAAAAAATGCACTATAAACCATGTGTTATAGATTAAACAGGGCTCATCAAGTCTTAAATGGGTCCAAATATTTTCAAAACTCTTAATAAAGCAAAAGAAAAACTTGGGAATTAAGTTGAATTATATATTGTTATGAATTCCTTATAACATGAAGAAAAGTATGTCACACTGGATTTGCAGAGCATTATTAACACAGACTGATCTGTTGATAGTTCGTTAAGGAGATGGACAACGAAAAGAGGATGAGGCTGCTGCAGTTTGTCACAGGAACCTGTCGCCTTCCTGTGGGTGGCTTCGCTGACCTGATGGGTATGCAGAATAGACACATACACACTCACACACTGTTTATCACATCAGTATTGACTTCTCCATTTTAATCTCCTTTATGCTTGTTATTGATTAATACAGGAAGCAACGGCCCTCAAAAGTTCTGCATTGAGAAAGTGGGCAAAGAGAACTGGCTTCCACGAAGCCACACATGGTAAGGCCACTTATTCTTCTTCTCCTACTTCCACAGAAGTCCTCAGGCTTCAGATATGTGACCACATATCTAAACTGAAGGAGGAGGATTAAACCTTCATGACCAAACCCTCTTAGTCATTTCTGATTCAATCAGTCACCAACCTTCCCTTTTGGCATTTGAAGTTGTACAATACTGTGTGAGAGTGCATCATACCTGAGTAATACAGTCTGCACAGTGTGTTTTTAAACAGATACAGGTGAAAACATGATACAGCAGAGATTAGGGATATTTTGGGTGGTGCTAACATGAAGTATCAGTTTGTTTTATTTATATAGATTAGTTATATTGAAATACAAATTAAATTTTTAGTGGCCCACTAGTGTGATGAAATCAATTGCCTTTAAACTCACAAAGAATCTGCCTGGTGCCGCAGAACATATTTGAGCTTTATACTGAAGGGTAACAGTAAGTCTAAATTTGCCCATCAACATTACTAATAGATGTAAATAAGCATTTATTATTATGCTTTACCACAAGACAGCTGCTCCGCAGTGGGCTATTTATGATTGTTTGGTACTTTAACTTGCAGGGTTGGCGGTAAAAGCAAACAATTATGTCCACTCACTGTTTAATTCTCTATTGTCCTCCAAGACTTTTTTTTTTAAATCTGGAATAGCTAGCTTAGCTACAGAGATCCAAGCCATTGCTATTGAGGTTCGACACATATAAATGAAAAGGTGATAGGCTGGATGATGCAAAATTAGTTGATGAAATGTAAAAACATTTTTTTATTCTGTGTATAGGCTGCACATTTTCATATATATTATTGCATGACTCAATGTGTTGTGGGGCCTCTGGTGATTCCCAACCCTGCTCTCATGCATCTTTCTCTTGTCTTCATGTAGCTTTAATCGTCTGGACCTCCCTCCATACAAGAGCTATGAGCAGCTGAAGGAGAAGCTCATGTTCGCCATAGAGGAGACAGAAGGCTTTGGGCAGGAGTGATGCAACAAGAGCAGGGGCTGCAGGACAAGATGGAGGAGTGTGGGCTCAGAGGAGCCATATCCATTTCAGACAAGAGCACTTTTCAACATTTGCAGCCAGGAGCTGCTTACAAACTGGTAGATGGCCGTACAAATCCTCGTTTTTCTATCAAACTCTCATATGCAGTAAGTCTCTGAGCTGTTCGGTCACGTTCATTTATCCTCCGCACTCTGTTTCACTTCTCACCCACATGATCAGTTCCACCCTAATCCAGCTGATCTCACTTACACTTAGCCCTGGTCAGCCCATTGTCAGGCGATGGAGGCAGATAGACGCCTCTCTCACCCTGTCATGTCTGCACTCGCTGCGTGTTGCGCAAGTGCAGTTTCTACACGTACATATGTCAGTCTGTGCAGTAGTAACTTCTTAAGAGCCGCTGTGTCGGGTCTATGCACTAGAGTTAATGATTTTAGAGAAAAGAACCATATTTGTGCTTTTTGATTTTAAATAGAAAGGGTCATATCATCAAAGGCACATATATGGTTTGGGGTCTTTCAGACTTTTATTTTTCTTTAGTCGTAAGGATGGATGAATGGATGATTTTTTTTTTTTAACAGCTGACTGATTGGACTGACTCCTGTAGCACATATGTGGTTTCTTTTAATAACTTTGATAAATATGATCATGCTAATATGATACTTTCTCTTGTTTTGACAGGCTGATTTCTTAACTTTATAATGAGTTGAACTTTTGAACTAGTTTGCACATAGTTATGTGAGCAGTAAGACGGTTGTGATTGTTCTTAAGAGAGGTTGTATTTTTATGTGCAATAGTTTTGTAGAAAACAATTTTTGCCAATAATAGAGCCAAACAGTGATTTGTTTGATCATTTTATAACACTTTGGTAAGTTTCAGCATTTACTGTTGATTTAAATTCTCAATATAAAATAGAGAACATTTGCATATTGGCAAGTGTGAATGGTGAAACTGGTTTGGTTGTGATTTGATTTGAAAACTTTGCCTTCCCACAGTGATCTGTGCTGTATATGATATCAGCATGTTCCATTACCAGTCTGGGAGACTGACACGTGTGAAGTCTTCTCGATAATTATAAGCTGTTACTAATGAAGTGGGAGCTCTAGGGTGTATTGTGTAATAGAGAACTAATAGAGAACATTGATTTGTTGAGTCATGACCCGTTCCCACTGAAAGGTAGCCAATTCTCTGGTAGATGTCCAGAGTTAGCTTGACTGCAGTGTTTCTCAACGTGGACCCTATTCTCCCATGTTTTTGTGTCTAAGTGACTAATGGAGACAGAAAGTTTTGAAATCAGTCCAGTCTTGAGCGAGACTGCAAAACAGGCTGCAGCGTAGCGACTCTGGACATTTGTGCACCGTCAGTTTATGTCCACCAAGAGCTCTTTTTTACAGCTGAATAGCCAAGATAATTTTTCTAAGCGTCCAACAACATTATTGTAGCGTCTACTGAATGAAAAAAGCCGCAAAGAGGCTGAGTCAGCTCGTAACTGTGACTCATTCAATAAAATCCATGCTGAAGTCCAAAGATGCGTTTTATGGTGGTTTATAAGACAAACAACTGCAAAAGCAAAATGAGATGAAATGAAATATAATAAAACTCACCCTCTTTGACTAAAAGCCGCCATGCCAGTGAATGAACAGGTAAAATAAAGTGACCAAACGTACATGTGCAGCCTTAGGTAAAATACACATTCTAGCTCCTACAATTATGGAAATGGTTCTTACAGAAGTCAACCTTTTGTTAAAGAGTAAGATACTTTTCTTTTCATTTTTTTTTAACCAGAAACAGCCCTTAAATCGCTTTTGCCAAACTCGTCAGAATCCATTTAAAAAGGCAGTAAACTTATCATCGTGATAAACACTTAAAATTTCAACAATGCCATCTTGGTTTGTGTTTCCACTGTTTCAGCAATCACCAACTTTGATTATGTTTAAATAAAACCCTTAATTTACCCAGTTAGATGTGAAAATATGCTGGCTGTATACACACTTAAATTAGTCTTTATTTAAATGGAGTCTAGTGTGTTTGATGATGGCAGTTTCTGGGCTGTTTGCGGTTAAACATAAACCTGTCAGTGGCAAAACACGCACTTTTAGCAGACGTAAATTGACATTATACAAATGATATACATGTAAGTGGTTACATTGCAGCTGCTGGTTGCAGCAGTCTCGCTCAATTCAGGACCGGTGTCAGACATTGTCGTCTCCATCGGTCACTTAGACAAAAAAAGAGAAAATAGCGTCCAGGTTGAAAATACTTGAGTTACCCTTTAAGTATTATCTCAGATCAATAATGAAGATACCGAATCCTAAATGTTTAATGTGTTAAGTGACTAATGCAGTTTATGTAAATATACTTACAAAGTAGAACATGTGTTTAATATCTTAATAACATTTAGTTCACCCCAGCAGTGGACCCCTTGGATTTGCAGGCTTAAGTTGATAAATAAGATTTGAATTAATGTCCTATAAAGTGGCCCTAGTTTTATAGGGTGTTAGGTATTCAGATTTGTAAAGTAGTATATTAGTGTATTTCATGTCTTTTTCCAAAAAATAGATCCACTAACATTAAAGTTTCCTTTTAGTATCAAGTGGAGTATCACTTTTAAGAAGATGACTATGAAACAAATCTACCAAAGGATTTTATTTGATTATGTTTTGTAAACGATTTGACTCAATCAGTTCTTAACTTCCCCAATTGACTACAAATTAGTTAGTCGTTCTCGATTATATTAGTGGGTAACACTGTGAGGTACAAAAAGCTCAGCTACTTTGATTTTAAACACTAAGTTTAAACAAAATTTCTGTGAAGTGAAAATTTTTCAACGACTTGTAACTGTGCAAACATCAAGCTGTGTCGTGTGTGTGTAGGAAGCATGGTGTAAATTACGTGCTATGATTTCAATCTGTTCTCTAGATCATTGAAATATCTTGTTCTCTTTAAAGGTATACTGTGCAGGGTTGTCAGTTACTGTTCGTTAACACGCTCGCACCGCCACACACTTCTAGTGGGGCATAAGTGATGATTGAGAGGGATCAAATCCTGCATAGTATATCTTTAAGTTCCCAGAAAAATGTAAAAGGATGTATCCACAGATTTTACCCATAAATTTTGCCGTGTATGAACCATGTGTTGTTTCATAATTTCAGTGCTGGTACTCCAGAAAAAAAAGGCCTAAAGTCTCCCTCACTGACCTGCCAGGTGTAATAACCCTCAGTCGATACCAGTTACTGCTCACTTTCTACTTAAGTGTGTCTCATGTTTCAAATTATATCACATTTTCCCCCTTACCGGCAGTAACGCACACATACACCTACAGATGTGTGTAGCTACAGCTGTGCAGACTCGTGAAGAGATTATTGTTTAAAAAAAAAAAAAGGTTTGTGATTAAAATGTTTACTGTTGAATATTTTAACAGCTAATAATTCTAGCACCTTGACACTCCAAACTGGTTGAATTAACCACTTCACTGTTTAATCACTGCTGTGTTCCAGATCATGGAGCAGTTTCATGTATAGAAAATATGCAAACTAGTGTTTTAGTTGTTCTGATTGCATTGTAAATCATGTTGATAGTGTAATCACTGTTTTTTGAAGCTCCAACTTTTTTGATAAGTGGAAGTCAATGGTTGAATACTATTTATTTGGAGGATGGGTTTCATGTAACAATGGACTGGATTGATTGAGGAAAAAAAAAACAGTAATAAAATGATTTAAACACTGGGCTCCTGCAGGACTCTTGTGGAGTGTTGATTATTATTACAGCAACATTTTTCACTTGTCTTTACAATATGCTACCCATAATTTATTAATTTTGTTTTAATACTTTATCTAAATATACATAAGGTTATGGAAGTGTAATGCATTCATTTAAGAATAAAAATTCTAGCCTGTTTTTTTTTTTCTTCAATGAATTAAGAAGAATATTATCTGAGAATTCTGAAAAAGTTTCCATGGAAAAAATTCTGCTACTGCTTTTCATATTTTAAGTATATTTTGCTGATTATACTTATAAAACAATACTATAACATTTGAAAACATGACATCTACTTTATGGTATTACTAATTTTACCAAAGTAAATCATGTGAATATTTCTCCAGCCTGTGGTCATTGTACTTACTGATGCGTTCTACTATGAAAATCAAGAAAGGTGACTCATGTTTTAAAGCTCATAAAGTGCTGTTTCAATGTAGTATTTCTTGCAGTGAGGGTGTTGACTTTGAGAATGTGCCAGAATACAGTATGTGTGTACGCCCTTAATTTAGCTCGTGGCATCTCTGGCTCCTATTTAAAAAAAATGAATCTTCAAGTTTACTCTCACATTATGCAATATGCTATACAATAGCTCAATGACTAATACAAATACCAAAGTTACTCACCAAAGCCTGGTCTTACTGCACAAACCGCTACAACAAATACAGTAACAACATAGTTATGCATTCCCCTTTGCCTACATTACCCAATACATCTACTTTTAGAAATGAACTCTAATCTTTTCCCCAAGTAAAAGCAGAACAACTACAGTGTAGAAAAACTAAAAAGCACAAAGTATTAACATCAACTGTTCTTAAAGTACAAAAAGTAAAGGTGCTCATTGTGCATAATGACCCTTTTAAGAATAATGTAGGCCTATATCGTATTATCAAATTGTAATTATGGATGCATTACAGTGTACTTTACTAAAATATTGCAGCTTGTAGATGTGGGGCTTATTTTTTATTATATATACTGTAACATTGCTTGTGAATTTTCCCCTGGGGATCAAAGAAGTCTTATCTTTATCCATACTAATACCCTAATTTGTTTGTTAATTACACTTTATATTATTAATCTTAATCTGTAAAGTATTTAGTAACTAAAAGTATCAAATAAATGTAGAAGTGGAGTAAAAAATAAAAATAAAAAAATCCTCTGAATTGCTGAGTAGAAGTATCAGGTGGCAGAAAATGGAAATACTCAAATTAAAAGTACCCTAAAACAGTTCTTAGATACAGTACTTCAGTAAATGTTCTTATTTTCCACTACTGTCAGAAACACCATAGTTCCCTGACATGGGAACCTAAGTTATAATGTTGCACCACGGTGGGTTTTCGCTGTGACACATCACTCTGGCTCGTATGTGTGTAACCTGATTTGATGTCCGGTCGGTTCTGATTGAAAGTCATGGCAGGTCCTGATCTGATTAAAACTCTTCTGTACACCATCAATAACCTGCTGCAGCAACAGAAGTACAAAGCGGCGTTGGCGGTGCTGAAAGGATTCAGAAACGGCGCCGTGTGAGTGAAGCTGTCAGTACATTAGCTAACTAGCTTAGCTACCAGAGTTTACTTCTTTAACTTACACAGAACTAGTTAGCTAACAGGTCCTAACAGCTGTAGGGCTACAGTGGTGGTTAGCTTTAGCTGCCTGCAGCCGCAGTGCTAACTTTAGGTAACAACTAGATGTAGCAGCAGGTTGTATTTACTCTGCTAAAGCACTGGAGATGTTTGACTTTTTTTTTTATAGCCAATTGTGTTTCCAGACAGCACTGACATTATAATGTGTGTTTGTTTTCCAGATATGGGGCCAAAATCAGAGCTCCACATGCCCTGGTAATGACATTTTTATTCAGAAGTGGCAGGTAAGAATTTGTAAATAGAAAAACAAAACAAGAAACAGCACCTTGCAATTCAACAACAACAGCAACAACAATATTGCTACCACTACTACTTATGCCAATAATGATAATAAACTTAATGTATATAGCATCTTTCTTTTTTTTTTTTTAAACTTTATTGCCCTCAACGGCAATGAACAAGCATTTATATTGAAGAACAAACTCTCCTTGAGAGTGTGTTTTACCTAACATAAATGCACATGTGGATGAAGATTCATCATAGCAACCCGTGTGTACACCCTCCATGGACGTAATGATACGCATCTATCCATACATATACACATGCATCCATACACATGTGTAAGCATTACTCACATGCATACATATTAAACATATACATACATGTACATACAAATATACTTGTATGAATCCACAAAGAATTAACCTCAAAATATAAATAATAATTTAAAAAACCCAACTCCTTTTGAAAGTGGGGAGTGTAAGTTGTAGCTGAGCTGTCACGCACTCCCACCATGAAAATTTGTTTGACTTTTTGTAACCATGTGACAGTCGTAGGAGAGTTAAGCAGGAAAATGTGCAGTATATAACACTTATATGTGGTGAACAGGTGATCAGGCAGTACATCCAAAGGTCCAAGGGAATGTCCAGGTTTAGGATTCTCTCCACTTCTACTTGAACGTTTTTCCAGAATGTCTGTATTTTTGGGCAGTCCGAAAATATATGAGTATATAGCATCTGTCAAAAGACATTCACAAAGAGCTTTACAATAAATACAGTAAGGATAGACCGATACATCGGCCGGCTGATATATCGGGCCGATATTTGAGGTTTTTTTTACTTGTATCGGCATCGGCCGATACGCGCGTGGGTTCGCGAATTTATTTTTCCCTGGCATGATTTACAGACAGGCATCCACGGGCAGCTCTGTGTTGCCGGAAGACCCTGCAGCGCACATGCAGCGAATCCTACTGTGTACAGTAGTTGTTGTTTTATTTATGCTTCAGCTTAAATATTTGTTTATTTTATAAAGACATTACTGGAAGATTTAAGAGCACTGAACTCTGTTTTTTATTTGAATGTATAATAATAATAATAATATTCTACCTGCTCTACCTCAACTTTCCATCTTGTTTTAGTATTTTTTACTGTTCAATAAATGTTTCTTATTTTAAACTTGAGACCTGTAATATTTGTTATCATTGTGTTATTTTTTTTATGTAAATTGAGGGAGCAAAAGCAGTATCGGCCCCAAATATCGGCTCAAGAAAATCGGCAGTCCATAATCGGTCATCGGCTAAGGGTGATGGAAAAAAATCGGTATCGGCATCGGCCCTAAAAAATCCATATCGGTCTATCCCTAAAATACAGAGCACATATAATACACTTAGAGAATTAAGTGAACCAAGTTAAAATGACAAGAAGTGGGGATGCACAACTGAATCGGCACGTCATTGATAGAGGCAGATATTGGCTTTAAAATGAAAGATTAGAATCGGCCAGCATGCTTTTTCTTTTTTTGCACAATGGATGAATGTTACATACATTGGAAAGCATTCTGTTTCATGTCTCTGCTGGTGGGCCATCACGATACAAGTATGCATGCATAATATGATGTTAATTCCACTATAGAAGAGACCTGATGATCACTAAAATTAGGTGGGAAAAAAGTGGATGTAACAATGTCAGTATTGGTTATCGCCCAAATAAGTTGTTGTATATCGGCATATCGGATATCAGCAAAAAATCCAATATTGTGCATCCCTAACAAAAAGCATACTGTGAGTGACTTTCTGAAAAGCAATTTCGGTAAAGTCAGTTTTTAAAGTGATTTAAAAGAAGAGGCAGAGCTTGAAACCCTGATATCCTGAGGCAGGTCATTCAAAAGTGTAAGGGCCCTGACTGCAAAGGCGTTATCATCATTATGAATAAATCTGGACCTTGGAACGAAAAGGAACAACGTATCCAAGGATCTCAGGGTCCAGGAAGGAACATAGGGCAATAAGAGATCTGATAATAACCTGGGGCAAGGCTTGTTATGGCTTTTTAAAGGGGAAGACCACTTAAATTAAGAATTCCAATATGTTATTTCCATTACTCTGAAGAGTTCAATCAATATTTGTGAACAAAAGCTGCTCTCTCTTGAAGTCAGAAACCAGAGAAGTCTCACACTTGTGATGTCATTAAATATAAAGTCTGCTGCTCCATAGACAGTGAATGGGAGCCTCATTTTGTGGACACACAGGATGTTTGTTTTCTTTTCTATACCCAAATTAACTTTATACTTTTGTAATGTTCTTATCTCTCAAACATACTCAGAGCATTCCCCTGGCTGCTCTCAGTGTCATCTATAACTACTTTCCTAATCCATTGTCTATGGAGAAGCTTCAGACCTTATACTTGATGACATCAGAAATTTGAGTTTTCGCACTGTTGTTGTTCATATAGGGTGGCCAGGTAGCCAGTGTAAGAAAGCCAGGATCGGTGAGATGAGGTCATGTTTCCCAGCCCAAGTCAAAATCCTGGCAGCAGAGTTTTGGATGAGCTGGAGTTGGGAGAGGGAGAGAGGTTTTTTAGTGGTGCCAGAGAGCAAGGAATGCTACAGTGTAATCGCTACTCCGTACATCTCTTAAATCTGCACACATTTTTCTTTTCTCTGATAGTCTGAAGGACAAGCTCAGAGCCATTTTAAAGGCCACGTACACCCACTCTCGCAACCTGGCATGCTTTGTGTTCACGTACAAAGGACTGCAAGCCCTGCAGGAGAAGTGCCAGGGAAAGAGTTTGCAGTCTCACTCCTTTCTGGCGGCCTGTGTTGGAGGCTGGTTAGTGTTTGGAGATAACAACAACATCAACAGCCAGGTACGATTCGCCTGTAGTCCAGTAATTCATTGTTGCCACATTTCTTGATCCTATCTGTAAATTAACAAGCATGTCATCATAAACTCAAGACAAACTCAAGTAAATATATTCAGTTCATGAAAACTCTTTGCTCCTCTCTAGATCAACATGTACCTGCTGTCCAGGATCCTCTTCGCCCTGTCTCGGCTGGCCGTAGAGAAAGGATTCATCCCACAGCCTAAACACGACCCTTTCCCCCTTTTCGCCACGCTGGTGTGGG